GGGGGGGCACCCAGTCCTTGTTACACGTTTGGAAGAGTAACATAGCTAGGACTGAATCCATACTGTGAACCCCCGTAGGAGACATGGAAATGCACTCTTTTGCCCACAGAATGTCTAATGGAAGGAAGAGGAAACAGCTGGAAACAGCTGTCTGGTTCTATTAAATGTTATGACAACCTCTTGGTGGCGGCTACAAGCACAGAGAGCTTCCAGAAGGGATTGGATCAACATATGGAGCAGAGGTCCATCAGTGGCTATTAGCCACAAGGTCTAGAGGGAACACTTTGTCTAGGGCAGTGATGCTCTGTATCCTTGGTGCTTGGGGGGGCAAGAGTGGGAGGGCTTCTGGAGTTCTGACCCCGCTGGTGGACCTCCTGATGGCACCTGGGCTTTGGCCACTGTGTGACACAGAGTGTTGGACTGGATGGGCCATTGGCCTGACCCAACATGGATTCTCTTATGTTCTTAAGTTCTGTTTGGTGGCCATCTAAGGCAACCAGTTGGCCTCTCTGTGAGACAGGATGATGGACTAGAGGGACCACCAGTCTGATCCTCCAGGGCCCTTGTGATGTTCCTATGAGAGATCGTTTTCCCCTCCTCTCAGCCTGACCGTCTCCTCTCCTGAGATTTTCGTCTTCCCCTAAACTGCAGAGAAACTGTCACTGTGGGACTTTCAGGGACGTGCTACAAATGTCACATTTACATACCTCTCGGCTTCTATCGGTCAGCGATCTTAGCCTGAAGGCTACAAACTCGTTATTGCGAGCCAAGAGTTCATCACACAAAGTACACTCACCCACAACTTGGGCTTGGCAGGCCAGGCGTACGTGAGTTACTCCGTGAAATATATTCCGTATGGCCCTCATCCCTTTGCTAGCTTTCTATTTTCACAGCCTGATTTTCTACCTTTTTGCGCCTTTTAACTTCGAGCGAAGGTGTTTATTCAGAATGAGCCAGTTATTCATATAACAAGTGGAGTGGAGTCTACTGCCCTGGCTTCCTTGAGCAGGCTATTTCCTGACAGCTAGAGCGGTTCCTCAGTGGAACAGGCTTCCTTGGGAGGTGGTGGGCTCTCTCCTTCTTGGGAGGTTTTCAAACAGAGGTTAGATGGCCTTCTTACAGCAGTGCGGATTCTGTGAACTCAGGCAGAATGTGAGAGGGAGGTTCGCATCAGGGCTTCCTTCTTGTGGCCCTTTCTGATTGCCACTTTGGGGACAGGAAGCAATTTTACTCCAGGCCAGTTTGGCCAGAGATCCTGGAGGTTTTTTGTCATCTTCCGGGCATGGAGCAAGAGTCACTGGGGTTGTGTGTGTGTCGCAGGGGTCATTTTGTAGGTAAAGAGGTGCAGGATCTCATTAGCATAAATCATTAGCATAACTTATTTGCATATGCCACACACCCTGACATCACCGGAAGTGTGTCAGAAGGCAACACCCACCACTCAGGCTCCGCTGGACTGTTTTGGATTGCTAGCTATTGGGGGGGGGGGGGAAAGGGGCGGGGGGGGGGGGGTGTGAAAAAGCTCCATGAATAAAACTTGGTCTTAAAGGTGCCACTGGACTGTTTTGGGCCAGGGGGAGCTCTGCAACGTACCTGGCTGCTTCTTGCTCTGACTGAGGGCTGCTGGGAGCAGGGGGCGGGGCTTGTTGCATGTTCCCACCTCCAAGGCTCTTTACTGCCAGAGCTCTGCTCCTGTGCGCTCCTGCAGGAAATGACCCCTGTGTGTGTGTGTGGGGGGGAGGTACTGGTGAATCTCCTGCATGGTGCAGGGGGTTGGACTAGATGACCCTGGAGATGTCCACATAGGTTCTCGCCCACAATGCTGTTTGGGAGCAGCAGGGATGCCACATCAAGGTTAGGAAATTCCTGGAGATTTCTGGGTGGAGCCCCGGGAGGGCAGGATTTGGGGAGAAGAGGAACCTCAGCAGGGCACAATGCCATAGAGCTCACCCTCCGAAGTAGCCATTTCTTCCAGAGGAACGTCAGGACCCACTTGGAGTTTGGCAACCCTAGGGAAGCATTTTTCTTCTTCTTCTTCTTCTTCCCCCACGTCATTGTGCTGCGTTTGTGCACCTCATGGGGTTTCCCTGACTTTTCTCTGATCTTTCTCAAAGTTACTTTGCTGTGAAGTTTTGGGAAAGGCGGCCATAAAGCCTGGATGGCTGCCGTGTGGTTTGGAAAATCCGGATTTTCCCGCAGGGCAGCCGTTTTCTCTGACATTTTTGCCATGGCAGCTGTTTTTTTCTGCCCCCTACCTCTGGGGGGGGGGAGGAGGAGGAGGAGGAGGAGAAGAAGAGGAGGAAGAAGAGGAGGAGGAGGAGACTGGATTTATACCCCATCCTTCACTCAGAGTCTCAGAGTAGCTTACAAACTCCTTTCCCTTCCCCCCCCCCCACGCCGTGTAAGGTAGGTGGGGCTGAGAGAGCTCTTTCAAGAACTGTCCTTGAGATAACAGCTCTGAGAGAACTTGTGACTGGCCCAAGGTCATGCCAGCGGCTGCCTGTGGACGAGTGGGGAATCAAACCCGGTTCTCCCAGATCAGAGTCTGTGCTCCTAACCACTACACCAAACTGGCTCCTAAAGGTAAAGGTAAAGGTTCCCTTGCTCGAAAGCCAGTCGAGTCCGACTCTAGGGTTGTGGTGCTCATCTCCGTTTCAAAGCCGAAGAGCCAGCGCTGTCCGAAGACATTTCCATGGTCATGTGGCCGGCATGACTAAACACCGAGGCATGACTAAACACCGAGGCGCTGTCACCTTCCCACCAAAGCGGTACCTATTGATCTACTTGCAATTTCTTGCTTTCGAACTGCTAGGTTGGCAGGAAACTGGCTCTTAGGTAGACACAAAAGGGTGGAGTTAGGTGATATGGTTGCACGCATGACTTCTGCCACAAACAGCAGCCCCGTGTTTCCTTCTCAGGTAACATCAAGCAAAGCAAATCACCCAGTGATGTCACTGACCCCATGTGACTTTGGGGGATTGGTGATCAGGTCCCCAACCACGCAATTTAGACACCAAAACCAGCAGGTTAGGGCTTGGGGAAGGCTTATGTGAACCACATCTAGAGAAGGGACAATTCAGCTCTTCCCTCCAGGCTGTCGTGCCGATCGAAACTCAAACCCCTTGTTGGAATTCAGAGATACCTGCCGGCTTTGGAAGCCCCTTGCTGCCCGTAGCCGCTGGACGTCACCTTCTGATGCAGCAGCTGCCGGTTCGTTAGGTGGTTTGGGGGCTTGGCTCTGGGGAGGATGGACTCGATGTGGTTGTAGTTCAGGCACAGCACCTGCATATGTGGAAGCACAGGGACATTAGGCGCAGGGGAGGAGCCGTGGCTCAGTGGCAGAGGATCTGCCTGGCATACAGAAGGCCCCAGGTTCAATCCCCGGCATCTCCACTTAAAAGATCAGTCAGTAGGTGATGTGAAAGACCTCAGACTTACCTCCGAAATGGTTGCTGAAAGACTGGGGCACTCCAGCAAGATCCAAGAGTTGACCTGGACAGATCAGGTTAGTTTTATCCAGAGGTCATTTCGGGGGGGATCGCAGTTCCCCCGGGTGAGGTACGGGGGGGCGGGGCACATGACGAAGCCCCGCCACCTGCTTCCAGCCGCCCCGCTTCCAGCCCTCATTCAGCCAGGAGGAGGCAGGAGAAGAGGGAGGGTAAGTTGCTTCCTCCCTGCCTTTCCCCACCCCTGGCTGCCTGGGGCCAGGGAGGGCCTTTGCGGGGCTTCCTTGCACACCCGCCGGCCTTGCAGGTCCACCACCGGGCCCCTCATGGGGCTCGGCAGTGGAGCTGCAAGGCCAGCGGCGGCAGCCAGGACCGTTGGGGGCGGTGTGTGTGGCCTTATGACACACTTCCGGTGATGTCAGGGGGTGTGGCTTTATGACACACTTCCGGTGATGTCAGGGTGTGTGGCATATGCTAATGAGTTATGCTAATGAGTCCCCCTAGCTCTTTTTCTATGAAACAACCCCTGGTTTTATCCCATTTCCTATTTAGTGATCACCGGTGTTCTTCTCTAAGAGCCAATTTCATACTGCCCCTATTGAACAGGTTTCACTGCTGCTCGCGTGATTTCTGTTTGACGGGCTATGGCTCAGTGGTAGAGCATCTGCTCGGCATGCAGAAGGTCCCAGGTTCAATGCCCGGCATCTCCAGTTAAAATGACCAAGCAGCAGGTGATGTGAAGGACCTCTGCCTGAGACCCTGGAGAGCCGCTACCAGTATGAGCAGACAATATTTATTCTGATGGACCAAGGGTCTGATTCAATACAAGGCAGTTTTGTGTGTATTCATGTGTGTGTATGGAGCTTGGGGGGGCCATGGTGTGAGGGCTTCTGGAGTTCTGGCCCCGCTGGTGGACCTCCTGATGGAACCTGGGCTTTGGCCACTGTGTGACACAGAGTGTTGGACTGGATGGGCCATTGGCCTGATCCAACATGGCTTCTCTTATGTTCTTGTGTCTGGGGCAGTGATGCTCTGTCTTCTCAATGCTTGGGTGGGGGGGCAAGAGAGGGAGGGCTTCTGGAGTCCTGGCCCCGCTGGTGGACCTCCTGATGCACCTGGGTTTTGGCCACTGTGTGACACATAAGAACATAAGAGACGCCAATGTTGGATCAGGCCAAAGGCCCATCCAGTCCAACACTCTGTGTCACACAGTGGCCAAAGCCCAGGTTCCATCAGGAGGTCCACCAGCGGGGCCAGAACTCCAGAAGCCCTCACACCATGGCCCCCCCAAGCTCCATACACACACATGAATACACACAAAACTGCCTTGTATTGAATCAGACCCTTGGTCCATCAGAATAAATATTGTCTGCTCATACTGGTAGCGGCTCTCCAGGGTCTCAGGCAGAGGGGGGGGGAAGAGAGGGAGGGTTTCTGGAGTTCTGGCCCTGCTGGTGGACCTCCTGATGCACCTGGGTTTTGGCCACTGTGTGACACAGAGTGTTGGACTGGATGGGCCATTGGCTTGATCCTACATGGCTTCTCTTACGTTCACTTCCATTGCATACTACAACATCTGTGGTTGACCTCAGGGGCAGACTGCAATGTTGAAACAGCCCAGGAGGAAGCTGAACGGCACAGAGTCGGAAGGGGCCAAAGAGGCCATCTAGTCCAACCCCCTGCTTGATCCAGGATCAGCCTAGAGCATCCCCGACCAGTGTTTGTCCAGCTGCTGCTTGAAGACCACCAGTGAGGGGGAGCTCACCACCTCCTGAGGCAGCTGATTCCACTCTTGCACAACTCTGACCTAATAGCCATCCAGTACCTTCCTGCCCTCGATTTAAACCCATTCTTGCGAGTCCTCTCCTCTGCTGCCGACATGAACAGCTCCCTGCCCCCTCCTCTAAGGGACAGCCCTTGTGCTGTGGTGGCAGCTGCTTCCAAAGCAAGGTTCTCAGAAATCTGCTCAGCCAATCAGATGGGCTGTCTCCAAGCAGAAGTCCTCGTAGGCAAAAACCCCATCTGGTCCCACCTACTTTCCAAGAACACTTGGCGGGCACCAGGAAGATTGTCAGTCAGCCCCAGGCACCCATGGGCACCATGTTGTGGACCTGATAAGTATTGGGATTGAAACACCCCAGGTCTGTTTCTACCAGAGACTGGCTGAGCTTGGAGCACAAGAACAATAGCCTACCAGGACTCTGGAAGTAACCAGGACTCTGGAAGTAACCAATCTAGTAGCAAGGTAAAGGTAAAGGTTTCCCTTGCTCGAAAGCCAGTCAAATCTGACTCTAGGGATGCGGTGCTCATCTCCATTTCCAAGCCGAAGAGCCAGCGCTGTCCAAAGACGTTTCCGTGGCCATGTGGCCAGCATGACTAAACACCAAGGCTCACGGAACGCTGTCACCTTCCCACCGAAGTGGTACCTATTTATCTACTTGCCATTTCTTGCTTTCGAACTGATAGGTTGGCAAGAGCTGAGGCCAGAGACGGGAGCGCACTCCGTCATGCGGCACTCGGGTCTCAAACTGCTGAGCTACAGACCTTCCAGTCTGCAGTTCAGCATCTTAACCACGTTATGTAAATAGCCTATCACTGGGAGTGGGGTGTGTTTGGGTGTGGCAACTGCATGCTATTTAAACAGGACTGCAGCTCTGGGGTCTCGTCTTGCTCTGGCTGAGATCACTAATAAAGTTGAGCTGATCACTGGACTCGAGCCTGCTCATCCATGGAACCCACTAACAGGACCCCTGCCTTAGACTCACGTACGATGTAATGTGTCAACGGAGCCGTATGTAGACTTGCCAAGTCCCCCCAGCCGGCGGGGAAACCCCCGCCCCAGAGGCCCGTTCCTCGCTGGCGGCAGATCGGGCCCCGGGGGGAACCCCACCCCCAAAGCACGCGACGTGCACGTCTCCTGGAAGTGACACGACCATGCCGGGCACGCTGGGGGCGGGGCCACGGTCATCCGAGGGAAAACTCTATGGTTTTCCCTCGGATGGTCGTGGCCCCGCCCCAGCGTGCCCGGCGTGGTCGCGTCACTTCCGGGTGATGTGGTTGCGACGTTGGAGTCCCCCGCTCCAGCGCCGCTTCGGACTTGGCAACCCTAGCCGTGTGCCAGGCCGATTTGTCCCTGAAATCCACTAAAGGTCTCCCACCCCGGCACTGACCTGTTTGGCTACAGCTAGGTTGCTCCCATACCTTCCCGTCCTAACCTGGATCAGCTCTTGAAAGAGGACGGAACCCACGAGCAGCTCACCTTGATATTCGGAAGGAAGATCAGACCGCTGAAATTGGTGAGATTGTTGTTCTGCAGATTCACGCTGGAGATGTTCTTAAACTGGTCTGGCGGCATGAGATCGATCGTTCTGTGTCAGGTTTTGAGGAGGGGAGCAGAAAGACTTGTCAGTGCGAAATAAAGCCGACGCAATCTGTTGCTGCCCTTTTCTGGACCTTTTCCTGGGGGCATTTTCTAGGGTTGCCAGGTCCAACTCAGGAAGTATCTGGGGACTTTGGGGGTGGAGCCAGGAGATTTTGGGGGTGGAGCCAGGAGCAAGGATGTGACATCACTTTTGTCACTAGAAGGTTCCTGTGATTCCGTAGTAGGAGCTTGTGCTTCTAACACAGATCTAACAAAGTGGGTGTGTTCAGACGCGGCGTTTGCAACGGTATAGGTGCCGGTTGCAATCGGTGTACTTACCGGCGTTCACACGTAGAACATCTGCCTTCCGTCCCTAACCGTTGCAAAGCCCTTTAAACTGTTGTACTCTGCCACTAGGTCCCCAAGTGGTGGTATCCTGAGGACAACGGTTGTAATCGCTGTACCTGCCATCTGATCACACTCCACCGTTGAGAAACAACTTCCGTTCGGAAGCCCGAGGCTTCCGATTTTTGCCCGCCATTTTTTTTTAGGTTGCCGATATGCGCTTGGGCGAAGTTTCGCCTCGGCGTTTGTTTTTTTAAAAAAAGAAAAGGCCCTTAGTTTAACTTTCCGGAGGAGTCCGGGACTTCAGGGAGGCCAGTTTGGGCTTTAAACTTTAAAGGTAAGTCTCTCTCTGTTGCACTTTATATTGACTGACCGGTTACTGATCAGCAGGGAGCAGCTGCGAGCAGGTGGGGAGGGCCGATCTTTATTATTGGTATTTTATTGGCGTTCCACCCCGCCGATGCCTGCTGCGTGTGGACGGGCATACAACAATGGGCTCCGCAGACAGGAGGTAAGTGTGATCACGTTTCAGGCGGCATAAACTGCACCGGTTCCAACCAGTACAGTTTATGCCGGCTGAAACGGCGCGTCTGAACGCACCCAGTGGTTGCTCTCAACTCATTCTCCACCCAAGCCACCCACACTGGTACCATTTAGGGTTGCCAGGTGAGGCTGAAAAGCCAGCGGGGGGACTTTCCAGGAGCCTCCAGGAGAAGGGAGGGAAGAAGCAAGACTGAACTCCAAAGGGAGTTCTGCCCGTCACATTTAAAGGGGTTGCATTCCTTTTAAACGCCTTCTCTCTGTTGGAAATAATTTGATGCCTCTACCTCAAGAAACAGCCCCCCCCCCGAGCCCCAGATACTCATAGATCAGTTTCCCATTATACCCTATGGGGACCAGTCTCCATAGGGTATAAAGGAGTGCCCTCCCCCCTCCCCCTGCTTTCTGATAACCCCGAAGCAAGGGAGGGGCTTCCAAACCAGGAGATCCCCTGCCCCCAACGGTTATTGGCAACCCTAGCATTTTTCCCTCACGCAGAGAGCGGGATGGCCCTGGTGTTTGGGGGAGTGTCCACACGACATCATGCTCCTTTTGAGCCCGACTGGTGGGGCCCCCAGGGCTACCTGCATGAAGCAGCTGTGCATATGAAGCAGCAAAACTAGTGAAATAGCTCCCCTCCAATGTGGCTGTCATGTGAGAAAACGGCTTGGTGAGTGTGGGGGGAGACGAGAACCCTTCCTCCTCCTGCAATGCCGTTAAGAACATCAGAACAGCCCTGCTGGATCAGACCAACGATCCATCTAGTCCAGCAACCTGTCTCACACAGGGGCCAACCAGTTCCTCTGGAGGGCCAACAACAGGGCAGAGAGGCCGAGGCCTTCATCAGAACATCAGAAGAGCCCTGCTGGATCAGACCAGTGGCCCATCTAGTCCAGCACCCTGCCTCACACAGTGGCCAACCAGTTCCTCTGGGGGACCAACAACAGGGCAGAGAGGCCGAGACCTTCATTAGAACATCAGAAGAGCCCTGCTGGATCAGACCAGTGGCCCATCTAGTCCAGCACCCTGCCTCACACAGTGGCCAACCAGTTCCTCTGGAGGGCCAACAACAGGGCAGAGAGGCCGAGACCTTCATTAGAACATCAGAAGAGCCCTGCTGGATCAGACCAGTCGTCCATCTAGTCCAGCATCCTGTCTCACACAGGGGCCAGCCAGTTCCTCTGGAGGGCCAATGACAGGGCAGAGAGGCCAAGGCCTTCATTAAAACCTCAACAGAATCCTGCTGGATCAGACCAGTGGTCCATCCAGTCCAGCCTCCTGTCTCACACAGTGGCCAGCCAGTTCCTCTGGAGGGCCAACAACAGGGCAGAGAGGCCGAGGCGTTCATAAGAACAACAGAAGAGCCCTGCTGGATCAGACCAGTGGTCCATCCAGTCCAGCCTCCTGTCTCACACAGTGGCCAACCAGTTCCTCTGGAGGGCCAACAACAGGGCAGAGAGGCCAAGGCCTTCATCAGAACATCAGAAGAGCCCTGCTGGATCAGACCAGCAATCCATCTAGTCCAGCATCCTGTCTCACACAGGGGCCAAGTGGTTCCTCTTGGAGGGCCAACAGGGCAGAAAGGCCGAGGCGTTCAAAAGAACAATAGAAGCCAGCCAAAAGACATGGAAAACAGAAATCATGCGAGCAGCAGGGAAACCTGCTCAATAAAGGCAGCGTGAAATTGGCTCTTAGAGAAGAATTCAGGGGACAGCTAAACAGGAAACAGGATAAAACTAACCTGATCATAGAGGCCGTCCAGTTTAACTCTTGCATCTTGCTGAAGTCGGAGTGCCCCAGTCTTTCGACAACCATATCGGCGGTCAGCTTGCCGCCAAATAAATCTCTTGCGGTTTCGATCTCGGGCGGTTCCTGAACAGATGACAGTTTTACAAGTCAACAGAGCTATAAAAGTGCTACCTAGACTGGCTATGGGTAAAAACAACACGGGACTGAATCAAGAGAAGGGTGTTGGTTTTAGTGGTCTTAAAATGCGGTTTTATTACGTATGTTTTAATTTGTTAGCTGCCATAGCAGCCCTTGCGAGGGGAGTACGGCAGATGACAGGGCAGAGAGGCCAAGGCCTTCATTAAAACCTCAACAGAATCCTGCTGGATTCTGTAATTTTTAAAAATTACAGAATCCTGTAATTTTTAAAAAGTTTTTTTATTTCATGCATATAAAACAGTCAACATACAAACAGAAATTTGGGGAAGATTGTATCATTTTTTTCCATGTTTTTTCCATGTTATCATTTGACCTCGTACTGTAATTAAGTGTTTTGTTTCTTTTATACACCTCAAAATTTTAATACACACTTTTTGCCCACAGGTATATATAAAGTTCTTATTCCTTTTAGATTCGGCTGTAAGTCTAGGAATTTGATACGTTATCAGAGGTCATTTCGGGGGGAACGCGGGGGAACACAGTTCCCCCGGGTGAAGTACGGGGGGCGGGGCACATGACGAAGCCCCGCCCCCTGCTTCCGGCTACCCCGCTTCCAGCCCTCATTCAGCCAGGAGGAGGCAGGAGAAGAGGGAGGGTGAGTTGCTTCCTCCCTGCCTCGCCTCCACCCCTGCCTGCCTGGGGCCAGGGAGGGCCTTGGCGGGGTTTCCTCGCACTCCCGCTGGCCTTGCAGATCCACCCCCGGGCCCCTGATGTCAGGGGGTGTGGCATATGCTAATGAGTTATGCTAATGAGTTCCCCTAGCTCTTTTTCTACGAAATGACCCCTGTACGTTATGTTCCTCTATCCATTTATAAAGCCTTAACCGTGTGTCCTCAAAATCTTCTCTGTTAAAGAGAAAGAAACGGAGGCCCTGCAAACTGTACTGCGACGTTCTGAGATGTTTGCTTCTGACATGAGCAGGGTGCGTTCAACTGGCGAAAGAACCTCAGCTTGATTAATGGAAGCCTGATTGCTACAAACATAAACAAAAGGCCTCAAGCTAGACTGAGAGTGCACACTGGGGTAGGGTTGCCAAGTCCCTCCGGTGTACAGTGACCAGGGGTCATTTCGTAGAAAAAGAGGTGCAGGAGCTCATTAGCATAGCACATTAGCATAACTTATTTGCATATGCCACACCCCCTGACATCACCAGAAGTGTGTCAGAAGGCAACACCCATCACTAAGGCGCCACTGGACTGTTTTGGATTGCTAGCTATTGGGGGGGGGGGGAACGTGCAGATCTGTCCTCGCAGAGGAGGGAGAGCTTGTACCTGAATAAAACTTGGTCTTAAAGGTGCCACTGGTTATGTGGGCTTGAGGGCGGGGGGTGGGGGGCTCTGCAACTTACCTGGCTGCTTCTTGCTCTGACTGAGGGCTGCTGGGAGCAGGGGGTGGGGCTTGTTGCATGTGCCCGCCCCCTGGGCTCTTTACTGCCGGAGCTCCGCTCCTGTGCGCTCCTGCAGGAAATGACCCCTGACAGTGATGTCTCCACATCACTGCCCATGTGACCCAGAAGTGACGTGAATCTGGTGATATCTCTGTACTTCCTGCTGTGCATGTGACATCAACTTTATGTCTAAGATTAAGCAAAAGGGGGGGGGGAGGACCCTCTTACCACTGCAACACCATCTAAGGCCTTCAGCGACGGGATATGGAAAATAACAAAGAGCCGGTAATTATCTTGCTTCCACACGATCAGGTTTCCATACATGTCGAGGATGACCAGGTTGTTCAGTCCCTAGGAAGTAACAAGACGGTCAACATTTTAATTAACCAGGCCACATCAAGGACGAGGGAAATCCTGTAGCAATGGGATTACGGACTGTGATAAGAAAACCCTTTGAAAACAGTTTTATCTGCTCAGACCCAGCCATTTCCATCTTCATGGGTTCATTTCTCCCCCAAGACAAGCTTAGTGGGGGTTTGGGTGGGAAGGAGAGGCGAATACAAGCTCTGTTCTTGATCGTCCCTCCCAGGATAATTGTGGGATGCGGGAATGTTGGAACAATCCCTTGTAGCCCAGCAGCTAGTCAATGGTGAAGGCACTTTTGGTGGTGGAATGTGCCGTCAAGCTGTAACTGACTCATGGAGACCTCAGGACCACGGGTTTTTTCAAGGCAAGAGATGAGGAGAGGTGCTTCGCCATTGCTTTCCTCTGCACAGCAACCTTGGACTTCCTTGGTGGTCTCCCATCCAAGTACTAACCAGGGCCGACCCTGCTTAGCTTCCAAGATCTAATGAGATTGAACCAGACTGGCCCATCCAGGTTTTCAAGGCAAGAGATGAGCAGAGGTGTTTTGCCATTGCCTTCCCCTGCGTAGCAACCCTGGGCTTCCTTGGTGGTCTCCCGTCCAATTACTAACCCGGCTGACCCAGCTTAGCTTCTGAAATCTGACAAGATTTGGCCCGTTCAGGTTAGAGCAAATACATGTTTAATTCAAAAATATAGTCATTGTTAGTCTTTATATTGGAGCTGCGGTGGCTCAAGTGGTTAAGATGCTGAACTGCAGGCTGTGGAAGGCCGGTAGTTCAGCAGTTCGAGACCCGAGTGTGCCGCATGATGGAGTGAGCTCCCGGTCTCTAGTTCCAGCTCCTGCCAACCTAGCAGTTCAAAAGCAAGACATTGCAAGTAGATAAGCAGGTACCGCTTCGGTGGGAAGGGAACAGCGTTCTGTGCGCCTCGGTGTTTAGTCATGCCGGCCACATGACCACGGAAACGTCTTCGGACAGCGCTGGCTCTTCGGCTTGGAAACGGAGATGAGCACCGCAACCCTAGAGTCGGACTCGACTGGCTTTCGAGCAAGGGGAAACCTTTACCTTTAGTCTTTATATTAGAGCTGCCAACCTCCAGGTGGATCTGGAGATCTTCGAGAACGACAACTAAACTCCAGACCACAGAGATCAATTCCCCTGGAGAAAATGGCTGCTTTGGAGGGTAGACTGTATGGCACTGGGCCCCACTGAGGTACTTCTCTTCACTTCCCCAAACCCCAGCCTCCCCAGGCTCCACTGCCAAATTTCCAGATAATTTCCCAAACCAGAGTCAGCAACCTGACTATGCTGCACTTTTGACTGTTTGAAGGGCCTCTTTATCCCCGCAGTCCTCCTATGACAAACCTCAGAGGTAGGTTTGATATCATTTATCCACACGCCACAGCTGGCAGACTAGGCTGAGGGGGTGATCTAAGGCCATCTGGTGGGTCTATTATCACTCAACTTGCTAATGTCATTATTAAATGATATGGGTGTTCCTCGACACAACTTTCATGCTTTCTTCCACCATCACTGTAACTATCTTCCCAGTCATTCCACATATCCTCTAGCAGGGGATAAGAGAAGTGTCCGGCAGCACCTTAAAGGTTAACAACATTTGTGGCGGTGGTACAAGCTTAAGAACATGAGAGAACATAAAAACACAAGAGAAGCCATGTTGGATCAGGCCTATGGCCCATCCAGTCCAACACTTCGTCACACAGTGGCCAAAACTCAGGGTGCCATCAGGAGGTCCACCAGCGGGGCCAGAACTCCAGAAGCCCTCCCACTGGCGCCCCCCAGCACCAAGAATACAGAGCATCCCTGCCCCAGACATAAGAACCTAAGAGAAGCCATGTTGGATCAGGCCTATGGCCCATCCAGTCCAACACTTCGTCACACAGTGGCCAAAACTCAGGGTGCCATCAGGAGGTCCACCAGCGGGGCCAGAACTCCAGAAGCCCTCCCACTGGCGCCCCCCAGCACCAAGAATACAGAGCATCCCTGCCCCAGACATAAGAACCTAAGAGAAGCCATGTTGGATCAGGCCTATGGCCCATCCAGTCCAACACTTCGTCACACAGTGGCCAAAACTCAGGGTGCCATCAGGAGGTCCACCAGCGGGGCCAGAACTCCAGAAGCCCTCCCACTGGCGCCCCCCAGCACCAAGAATACAGAGCATCCCTGCCCCAGACATAAGAACCTAAGAGAAGCCATGTTGGATCAGGCCTATGGCCCATCCAGTCCAACACTTCGTCACACAGTGGCCAAAACTCAGGGTGCCATCAGGAGGTCCACCAGCAGAGCCAGAACTCCAGAAGCTCTAACACTGTGGCCCCAGACAGTGTGTTCCATCTATATCTTGTGGCTAACAGTCACTGATGGACCTCTGCTCTATATATTTATCCAATCCCCTCTTGAAGCTGTCTATGCTCACAGCCACCGCTTCCTGCAGCAGTGAATTCCACATGTTAATTACTCTTTTGGTGAAGAAGTACTTCCTTTGATCTGCTCTAAACTTACTGCTCATTAAGTTCACTGAACAGTAACTCACGAAATCACATCCCCTGCCACAAACGTTGTCAGTCTTTAAGGTGCTACGGGACTCTTGCTCTTTTCTACTGCTACGGACAGGGTAAGACGGCTACCCATCTTGATCTATACATGTCCCCAAGGTCTTCAGAGAACTGGGGATCAATATCCTTGAGCACGCAGGGGTAAGTGTTCCATGTTCATAACCCCCCAGGGTATTTACCTTGAGATAGTAGATCTCTTGGTTAGATGACACGTAGTTGTTGCTTATGTAGAGTTCGACGAGAGCATAGGATTTTTGCAAGCCCACCAGCGACGTGATCCGGTTGTTCTCGAGGGAGAGATAGTGAAGGTGCACCAAGTTGTCAAAGAGGTTCCTCTCTAGGCTGCTGAGGTGGTTGTTGTTGGCGCTCAATCGTGTCAGTTTGGTGAGTTTTGAAATACCTGAGGAACAGGAACACTGCTCAGAAGCAGACCTAGACGGAGCTGAAGAAGCTACCCTGGCAGGGAGGCCACATGTGGTAACAAGGCCTCTTTGCTACCACTGCAGGTGAGAACATCAGATAAACCATGGTGGATCAGGCCAATGGCCCACCCAGTCCAACACACTGTGTCACACAGTGGCCAAAACCCAGGGGCCATCAGGAGGTCTACCAGCAGGGCCAGAACTCCAGAAGCCCTCCCAATGTTGCCCGCCAAGCACCAAGAAGACAGAGCATCACTGCCTCAGACATAAGAACCTAAGAGAAGCCCTGTTGGATCAGGCCAATGTCCCATCCAGTTCAACACTCTGTGTCACACAGTGGCCAAAACCCAGGGGCCATCAGGAGGTCCACCAGCGGGGCCCCCCCCCCCCCAAGCACCAAGAAGACAGAGCATCACTGCCTCAGACATAAGAACCTAAGAGAAGCCCTGTTGGATCAGGCCAATGTCCCATCCAGTTCAACACTCTGTGTCACACAGTGGCCAAAACCCAGGGGCCATCAGGAGGTCCACCAGCGGGGCCCCCCCCCCCCCAAGCACCAAGAAGACAGAGCATCACTGCCTCAGACATAAGAACCTAAGAGAAGCCCTGTTGGATCAGGCCAATGTCCCATCCAGTTCAACACTCTGTGTCACACAGTGGCCAAAACCCAGGGGCCATCAGGAGGTCCACCAGCGGGGCCCCCCCCCCCCCAAGCACCAAGAAGACAGAGCATCACTGCCGTGGAGGTAACTCATCGTGCATATCCGGAACAGAGAGGGCAAACACGTTACCCTCAAGGCTCGAGATGCAGTTCCCGTCCAACGTGAGCTCTTCCAGGTTGAGACAAGAATCCAGCCCTTCAATTCTTGTAAGGTTGTTATTGCTAAACGACGCCCACCGCAAATTCCCCAGTTTTTCCAAATGACTGATTTTGCTGAGATGTTGCCCGTCGAGGTCTAACGCTGTTATCTGGAAGAATAAAATAAAGACAATCATAGAACCACAGAGTTGGAAGGGCTCAGACAGGCCATCTAGTCCAACCCCCTGCTCACTGCAGGATCAGCCCAGTGCACGGGTGATGCCAGGGATTGAATGCCAGGGACCTTCTGCATGCCAAGAGCTGGTGCTCTGCCATGGAGCCATCGGCAACCACCTCATTGTGATACCCAAAACAACGGCCTAGCTGGAAGACTGCCCAACTCAAGATGGAGAGCATCGTTTCCTTTCCTATGTCGACAAAAATCTGGTGGTCTACCTACGTCCTATGATTCCTATTTTGGAGGAGGAGGAGGAGGAAGAAGAGGAGGAAGAAGAAGAGGAGGAGGAGGAGATTGGATTTATACCCCGCCCTTCACTCCCCAAGGGAGTCTCAGAGCGGCTTACAAACTCCTTTCCCTCCCCCTCCCCACAACAGACACCCTGTGAGGTAAAAGAAGAAGGAGGATTTATACCCCGCCCTTCACTCCCCAAAGGAGTCTCAGAGCAGCTTACAAACTCCTTTCCCTTCCCCTCCCCACAACAGACACCCTGTGAGGTAAAAGAAGAAGGAGAAGAGATTAGATTTATACCCCGCCCTTCGCTACCCAAAGGAGTCTCAGAGCGGCTCACAAACTCCTTTCCCTTCCCCTCCCCACAACAGACACCTTGTGAGCTAGGTGGGGCTGAGAGAGCTCTGACAGAAACTGCTATTTTGCAAGAACAGCTATGCCAGAACTATGGCTTGCCCAAGGTCATCCAGCAGGCGCAAGTAGAGGAGTGGGGAATCAAACCCGGTTCTCCCAGATTAGAGTCCGCGCACTTAACCACAACACCAAACTGGAAGAAGAGGAGGAGGAACAGGAAGAAGGATAAAAGGAAGGAGGAAGAGTTTATTTATATTTTTTTATTTTATTTATATGCTGCCCTCGCCACCGAAGCAGGCTCAAGGCGGCTTACAAAAAATAAAACATAAGAACAATTATGACATAAATAAAACCATCTAAAAACAATCCAATAGCACAATAGCTGGTTGTAAACTAATACATTAGGGATGGCAGCAACAGCTTTTATACCCCGCCCTTCATCACCTGAAGGAGTCTTAGAGCAGCTTACAATCCCCTTCCCTTCCTCTCCCCACAACGGACACCCTGTGAGGTAGGCGGGGCTGAGAGAGAACTTGTGACTGACCCAAGGTCACCCATCTTGGCTTCATGTGGAGGAGTGGGGAATCAAACCCACTTCTCCCAGCTTAGAGTCCGCTGCTCTTAACCATGGCACCACGTTGGCTCCCTGAAGCTGGGGACAGAGAGACTCGCCAAAGACCATCTAGTGAATATGTAATTCGAATGAGTATCAGAGTGAATATCAGAGTGAGCCCAGTGAACGGGCTCTCTGAAACCAATCACCCAGCGAAAAAGCTGTTTGAAACCAATCCGGGCATCGCTCAAAGGTCCCTCTTTGCGCCTCTTAGTGAGATGCTGTCTCCTTTCTATGAGAATGCCTCCTGCCCCGGTGCGAACCACCTTTGGCACCGATGTCGCACAGTGTAATGTTGACACCGCTAGCCTGAATGCTGCCTCTCGGGGCAGTTTTTGCAAATGCTCTTCTCTCTCAACGTACAAAGAGCAAAAACGCAATGCTCCTCTGTGCGAATGTGTCCTCCTCTAGCTATGCGGCGTGCCGTGCTACAAATTGAACTGACAGAGGGGTTTTTAACCTTTTCGGCTTGCCAGATTAACATGATTCTGGAAGATGGGTTGTGACATAGGTTAAGACGGGTCCGGGTGCCCGAGGACCCACGTGGTTTGCATCCTATACCGGGTTTCTCTTACAGAGATGTGCTGGAAACGGCAGGTGGTCATTCAAGACAAGGAGGACTGACCATGCATCTAAATTTGCGGATGATACAAAGTTGTTCAGGGTGGTAAAAACCAGTGAGGATTGTGAGGCACTCCAAAGGGATCTGTCAAGGATGGGCGAGTGGGCGTCAACATGGCAAATGGGGTTCAATGTGGCCAAGTGCAAGGTGATGCACATTGGAGCCAAAAATCCTAAATATAAATACACATTGATGGGGTCTGAACTGGCAGAGACTGAGCAAGAGAGAGATCTTGGAGTTGTAGTAGATAACTCACTGAAAATGTCGAGACAGTGTGTGACTGCAATAAAAAAAGCCAATGTTATGCTGGGGATTATTAGGAAGGGTATTGAAAACAGATCAGCCAATATAATAATGCCCCTATATAAATCAATGGTGAGACCTCATTTGGAATACTGTGTGCAATTCTGGTCACCACACCTTAAAAAGGATATTATAGCTTTGGAAAAAGTGCAGAAAAGGGCAACTCGAATGATAAAAGGGTTGGAACACTTTCCCTATGAGGAAAGGTTAAAGCGCTTAGGGCTCTTTAGCTTGGAGAAAAGACGACTGAGGGGTGACATGATCGAGGTTTATAAGATTATGCATGGGAAAGAGCAGGTAAAGAAAGAGGTACTTTTCTCCCTTTCTCACAATACAAGAACCCGTGGGCACTCCATGAAATTGCTGAGCGGTCGGGTTAGAACGGATAAAAGGAAGTACTTCTTCACCCAAAGAGTGATTAACACATGGAATTCACTGCCACAGGAAGTGGTGGGTGCTACAAGCATGGACGGCTTCAAAAGGGAATGCAGCAGCCATTTTGTCGCTGCACCCACTATGCGGCGTCAGAATGCCCACAGGCTCAAAAAGGTTGGAGACCCCTGAACGTACAGTGACTCTTGCTATCTGAGAGGAACGAAGCAGTTTCCTCGGTGTCGTTTGCTGTGTGTTTTGCGGCGCAGGAGAATGGTCGAAGTATTCCCATGGCGGGAATGGAAGACACCAACCATGGCTTCAAGAGGGGAACCACAAGACTATCACCATGAAGGCCCTGACCGGGATAGCCCAGGCAAGCTCGATCGCGGCAGATCTCAGAAGCTAAGCAGGGGTGACCCTGGCAAGCATTTGGATGGGGGACCTCCAGGGAATACCAGGGCCGGGAGGCCAGAGGCAGGCTATCGAGCCACTTCTCTGAATGTCCTCCGTGCCCCAGTCGCAAAAATACCCCCCCCAAAGACTATCACGAAGAAGAAGAGGAGGAGGAGGAGGAGGAGGTTGGATTTATACCCCACCCTTCACTACCCGAAAGAGTCTCAGAGTGGCTTACGATCACCTTCCCTTCCCCTCCCCACAACAGAAACCCTGTGAGGGCTCTTTCGAGAACTGCTCGTGAGGGAACAGCTCTGAGAGAACTTGTGACTGACCCAAGGTCACATCAGCAGCTGCATGTGGAGGAGTGGGGGAATCAAACCCAGTTCTCCCAGATTAGAGTCCCCATGCTCCGAACCACTACACCAAACTGGCTCTCTAGGGAGGAGAGGTCCCGTTTTAAGAAAGAATGCCCGACATTTGGTCACGCTCTCTCTTACCATTGTAAACCAGTTGTTCTGAAGTATGTCCAGTTTATTCTTACTCATTTGGCTCAGGATTTTGGCCTGCGGTACCACGCTGAGGATACGGATCTTCTCCGTATCCGTCCTCGAATGCTCCAGCAGAGACACCTGCGGAAACGAAGTCAATGGTGACGCAGAAATCTCAGACTGATTTCCCACCACCGGCTGTGCCGCCTTCACTCTTCCCTTCCCCCGATTGTATTCGTCAATTTCCCACTACTTCCTGCACGGCCGCATTTTGACCCACGGCATCCCCCGACTTTCCTCATGTCTTCTCAATCTCGAAAAACAGGGATCGAGAAGACACGGGGGAATTATGCAACAGTGGGAGGGCTTCTGGAGTTCTGGCCCCGCTGGTGGACCTCCCGATGGCACCTGGGTTTTAGCCACTGTGGGACACAGAGTGTTGGACTGGATGGGCCATTGGCCTGATCCAGCATGGCTTCTCTTATGTTTTAACCCTCCAAAGAATGTCAAACCTGAGAAATTTTGGAGTCTGCTATGAACTGGGCGGCGGCGGCTGCCTCATCCTCGGTGATCAAGACCTCGTCCAGATGTGTCAGCGTCTTCAGCTGGCCGATCACACTCAACCGCACGGAAGCTGGCTGGGGCGGGGGGGGGAGACGGAAACAGAACAGCATCATTTCCCCACGGTAGTGAGCCATTTCGTCAGGGAACATCGACTTTACAGTGTGGGTTTCCCGCCAAACTCCACGAGGCCCCTTCACGGGTGGAGGACCGAGGGCCAAACCCCATCTGTTGACCCGCTGCAACAGTAGGGTCGCCAGCACTTAAACGGGTCCCTCTAGCTGTCCCTTTAATATCACTTTGATGTGCAGCAAGTTCTGAGGTGATCCTCTTTACGTCAATGCCGTGGAAAGCGTCCCCTGCCCATTCAGACACATCTACCCCCCGTTAAAGAGACGATACGTTTTCCCCCTGTGCCTCGGGGTCCCCCGACTGAACTTCGACAAAAGTGAGTCAAAAATCAGGCTGATGAGAATGCATCTCCCCGAACATGCAGGAAGGCCAAACCCTGGAAATCTTGTTGGATTTAAAGGTGCTGCTAGCGGCTCCGCTGCAGGACAACATGGCTACCCACTGAAAATGTAAATGAGATGTGCGAGGGGAACCTCCACATTCACAGGCGCTAAGCCTCTGAATCCCAGAGTCAGGAGGCAACATCAGGGGAAGGCCTCAGCCATTCTGCCCTGTTGTTGGTCACCCAGAGGAACTGGTTGAACACTGTGTGAGACAGGAGGCTGGACTAGGTGGACCACTGGTCTGATCCAGCAGGGCTCTTCTTCTGTTCTAATGAAGGCCTCGGCCTCTATGCCCTGTTGTTGGCCCTCCAGAGGAACTGGTTGGCCCCTGTGTGAGGCAGGAGGTTGGACTAGATGGACCCACTGGTCTGATCCAGCAGGGCTCTTCTGATGTTCTAAAGAAGGCCTCGGCCTCTATGCCCTGTTGTTGGCCCTCCAGAGGAACTGGTTGGCCACTGTGTGAGACAGGATGCTGGACTAGGTGGACCCCTGGTCTGACCCAGCAGGGCTCTTCTGATGTTCTAAAGAAGGCCTCAGCCTCTATGCCCTGTTGTTGGCCCTCCAGAGGAACTGGTTGGCCACTGTGTGAGGCAGGATGCTGGACTAGATTAGGGTTGCCAAGTCTCTTACCTGCAATAACCCGTGCACACCGCAATCACGTCGCCCAGAAGTGACGTCATCACACCAGGCACGTCAACCTGACCTGGCCACTTCGGGGATGGGGTTCCCCCCGCCGGCTGGATCTGGACCAGCGGATTGGGGGTCCTTTCAGTGGGGGAACCCCTGCCCCCCGGGGGGACTTGGCAGCCCTAGACTAGATGGACCACTGGTCTGGTCCAGCAGGGGTCTTGTTATGTTCATATGAAGGCCTCGGCCTCTCTGCCATGCTTCGGTTTGGCCACTGTGCGAGGCAGGATGCTGGACTAGGTAGGTCACTGGTCTGATCCAGCAGGGCTTTTCTTACATTCGTAAGTGTGCAAAATAGGGGGGTGCTGTTTGTTTTTGCAGCTGTTGTTGAAAATGTCTTCTTTGCTTTCCAAAAAATGTTGCCATTACCTTGATTTGCTTTTATTGGGTCTTTGGTCCCAATGGAACCCAACGGAAGTCATCCCTCTTCCTCCCCTCTGCCACCCCCTAATGCTCACCTTCTCCTCCCCTGCCACACTCTGGCCTGTGAGCTGACATGGCTGCTGCTTGCAGGCAGGGTGCCTGCGAGCCGCCTCGCTAAGCAACCACAGCCACCCGGAGGACTTCATTCCCCAAGGTGCACTGTTTATTTTATTTTACAAAATGTACACTCCACCTTCCTACCTTCCAATGGGCCACTGTGTGATTGAAGGTAAGCTGCGGCAGCCATTTTGTGGCTGGCTCTACCTCCTGCGGCAGCCATTTTGTGGTTGGTTCCAACTCTTGCGGCAGCCATTTTGTGGCTGTTTCCAACTCTTGCGGCAGCCATTTTGTGGCTGGCTCCACCACACTGTATCAGAATTCTAAGGGTGCCTGCAGGCTCAGAAGGGCTGGGGACCCCTTTTTCAAACAAACAAACAAATAAATACTAAAACCTCTGTTCGATGTGTGGGTAGTAGTAACAGCGTTACTCAAGCTTAGCATGAAAAAGAAACTAAAAACCTGAACTTTTTGTGGGGGACGATGCTCAGACTGAAACATACCTTATGCCATGGGTTATGCTTGATATTCAGAGTGAGCACCGTGGGCGTGTTTCTCCGTAAAACATGGATCTCTTCCCCTGTCTTTTTCAGCTGATTCCAGCTCAGATCCAAATGCTTCAGTTTGTTTAGACCTCTGATGCCCTCCAGAGTGATCACGTGGTTATGGCTGGCATCAAAATATTCCAGGTTTGGCTGCAACGTGAATAGGAGGACAACTTATAAACAGGTAAGACGTCATCGTGTCTATTGATACGGCTGCATTAACTAGGCAACGATTATGGCCATGCTCCCTAGTGCAACAGGGCTTTCTCCGCAGTTCCTCATCCCCCTTCAAGAACTTCTTGTACTGTACCCAGGGGCAGGCAAGTGGAATAAAAAGTGGGGGGTTTTGTGTCTCGTTGGCTTCTACAAGTGGTCCATGCTCAGAACTACTGAAGGAGGAAACCAGAAGAATTCTAGGACCTGGTGACTAGATGGACCATTGGGTCTAATCGAAAGAGTCCTTTCCCTCTCACAAACGGCCAGATTGTCCGGCATCACGTGTGTGGGAATATTGAGGGTCTTATCTCTACGGGAGAGACCTGCAGAGACAGGGTCAGCTGGTCTTCCATTATGGAGATGCGTTGGAGCTTTCGAGCTACACAGAATTTCTCACCAGCAGATCGTTGGCGTGAGCGATTCAGCATGCCCGGACACTGGGGGCCTCTACATCACTCTAAGGGTGTATAGGTGTTTATCTCCTTGAATAGGATGCCTCTCTTTGTCTTAACCTGGGAGCTGCCCTCTGACCCCTCCTCCTCTCCCTGCCTTTGTCTTCTCACTCTTTGCACATGGCCTTCCATGGAGACACATCGCTCTGCAGGCCTCTCCCGTAGAAGCAATGCCCTTAAAACTCCCACACACATGAAGCAGAGGGAGCTGCCCTCTGACCTTCCTCCTCTCCCTGACTTTGTCTTCTCACTCTCTGCACATGGCCTTCCATGGAGACACATCGCTCTGCAGGCCTCTCCCGTAGAAGCAATGCCCTTAAAACTCCCACACACATGAAGCAGAGGGAGCTGCCCTCTGACCTTCCTCCTCTCCCTGACTTTGTCTTCTCACTCTCTGCACATGGCCTTCCATGGAGACACATCGCTCTGCAGGCCTCTCCCGTAGAAGCAATGCCCTTAAAACTCCCACACACATGAAGCAGAGGGAGCTGCCCTCTGACCTTCCTCCTCTCCCTGACTTTGTCTTCTCACTCTCTGCACATGGCCTTCCATGGAGACACATCGCTCTGCAGGCCTCTCCCGTAGAAGCAATGCCCTTAAAACTCCCACACACATGAAGCAGAGGGAGCTGCCCTCTGACCTTCCTCCTCTCCCTGACTTTGTCTTCTCACTCTCTGCACATGGCCTTCCATGGAGACACATCGCTCTGCAGGCCTCTCCCGTAGAAGCAATGCCCTTAAAACTCCCACACACATGAAGCAGAGGGAGCTGCCCTCTGACCTTCCTCCTCTCCCTGACTTTGTCTTCTCACTCTCTGCACATGGCCTTCCATGGAGACACATCGCTCTGCAGGCCTCTCCCGTAGAAGCAATGCCCTTAAAACTCCCACACACATGAAGCAGAGGGAGCTGCCCTCTGACCTTCCTCCTCTCCCTGACTTTGTCTTCTCACTCTCTGCACATGGCCTTCCATGGAGACACATCGCTCTGCAGGCCTCTCCCGTAGAAGCAATGCCCTTAAAACTCCCACACACATGAAGCAGAGGGAGCTGCCCTCTGACCTTCCTCCTCTCCCTGACTTTGTCTTCTCACTCTCTGCACATGGCCTTCCATGGAGACACATCGCTCTGCAGGCCTCTCCCGTAGAAGCAATGCCCTTAAAACTCCCACGCACAAAGCTGGCCCTTCGTGAGAGGGAAAGGACTCTTTAGATTAGGTGTCTCTCTCTTCTTTCGACTGCAACCTGAATGTGAACTGGATCTACTTGAATAAATGTAAGTTAACCTTTTTTCACAATATACTTCTTGGGAGATTTATGTACTGCACTCAGTCTCGCGCTTCCATGACTGGACAAAACTCTGCTTTATTATATCCCAATACAGATATTCTAAGCGAACTATCAAGGGCGCAGCTCAAAAGCTGGTGCTCTCCTAAACCAAAAGAATACTTCAGTCTCTCTTATCCTGAGTCCGACCCTTGGTCCATCAAAGTCAGAACTGTCATTAAATAATTAGTAAGAATAAATTTAGATAAGCAATTAAGACAATATTAAGGTTTTTACACTGATTTAATTTTAGCATAGAAGTCCGTTCAGTTGTTAGAACTCTTTTATCGTTAATGGATTGTCGCTAACTTTAGGAAAGTTCTTGTTTATATTCTTTAAGGAGAGAATCTATCCCAAAATTCTGTAATATTGATGTTTTATTGTCTGCTTCTGCATTTGAAATCTGTAATACATTTGGTAATACATCTGATTTGACTGGTTGTACGTAACAACCCATAACATCTGACAAACCTGACGAATCTATATTTCCCCCCTACCCTTTCTTCCTTTCTGTATCCCACCTTTTCTTAAAGAAAATAACACTTTTTTTAAAAAAAGTCACTACTGTCTACTCAGACTGGGAGTGGCTCTCCAGGGTCTCAGGATGAGGACTTTTATATCACCTGCGGCCTGGGGTCTTTTCCACTGGAGATGCCAACGGGTTGAACTTGGGACCTTCGGCTTGCCAAGAAGATGCTCTACCACTGAGCCATAGGGATCCCAAGTCCCCCCGGGGGGCGGGGAAACCCCTGCCCCAGAGGCCCGTTCCCCGGTGCCGCCGGCTCGGGCCCCGGGGGGAACTCCTCCCCGACGTGCGTGTCACCAGGAAGTGACGCGGGCACGCCGGGCACGCTGGGGGCGGGGCCACGGCCATACAAGGGAAAACTCTATGGTTTTCCCTTGAATGGTCGTGGCCCCACCCCCAGCGTGCCCGGCATCATAACAACACTTCCTAGTGACGTGCATGCGGTGCGCGCTTCGCACATGCGCGCGCACACCGGGAGACGACCGGGAGTCCCCCGCGGAGGAGGTAAGTGCCACTTGGCAACCCTACTGAGCCACGACCCCTCCCCGAATGAGCCTGCGAGCAACAGATGCCCTGTTTTCTTGGCTTTTTTCCTAATTACATTACAAACGGTTGAGCCACCTGCACCAGAGAGTGCTCCAATCTGGGTCTCTCTTTCCTGGCTTTTGATAGTACTACAATTCGCACTTTGCAAAAGAGATCTTGGCTTCACCTCGACACCCTCGAAGGAAGCGGGGCCGGTAGGGGCAACCCTTTCCATTTCTCACCATTATCCTGTTTCTCCTCTTCCACCCATTTTTTATGATTTTCAGTTCTGAACCCACTCATGTGTACGCCCGCCAATTTACCATCAGAGGCTCTTGAGCTGAATTGTCTGTGAGAGAGTGCCTTCTGGGTTCTAGTGTATGTGATGTCGTGGCAGGTGAATGCTTCTAAATTGCTTTGATATTGTGGCAATTTTATTCCTACGAATGCTGGTATTTATGGTGAGTCACCTTGAGCGCCTCTTAAAGCTGAAAAGTGGCACCTAAGGAGGGCACAAAAATAAATACTATTTATTTTATTTATTTGATTAGACTTATATCCCGCCCTCCCCACGTCGTAGGCTCAGGGTGGGTACCAACATATAGATATAGATATAGATAGACAGATGATAGATAGATATAGATAGATAGATATAGATAGATAGATATAGATAGATAGATATAGATAGATAGATATAGATAGATAGATATAGATAGATAGATATAGATAGATAGATATAGATAGATAGATATAGATAGATAGATATAGATAGATAGATATAGATAGATAGATATAGATAGATAGATATAGATAGATAGATATAGATAGATAGATATAGATAGATAGATATAGATAGATAGATATAGATAGATAGATATAGATAGATAGATATAGATAGATAGATATAGATAGATAGATATAGATAGATAGATATAGATAGATAGATATAGATAGATAGATATAGATAGATAGATATAGATAGATAGATATAGATAGATAGATATAGATAGATAGATATAGATAGATAGATATAGATAGATAGATATAGATAGATAGATATAGATAGATAGATATAGATAGATAGATATAGATAGATAGATATAGATAGATAGATATAGATAGATAGATATAGATAGATAGATATAGATAGATAGATATAGATAGATAGATATAGATAGATAGATATATAGATAGATATAGATATAGAGAGATAGAGATGTATGTATAATATATCTGCAATTAATGCAGATTTACAAATCAAAACATATTACAATAATCAATTAAAGTCCATAAAATCATCAGCCTTTTCAATAGAATCATCAGCATTTAAAACAATAATGTGCCTCAGCGTTAGAATAGTGTAGTCCCTGTCTGGCTTTTAGGATCTGCAGTCACTGCAGTCAAAATGGATGCCTGCTGCCTCAACTAAAGGGCTGGCGGAAGAGCTCCGTCTTGTGGGACCTGTGGAACTGTAATAGGTTCCGCGGGGCCCTGGATCTCATTAAGGTAGCGAGGGCCCTGGCCCTAGTGGAGGCAAGTCGGACATCCCTGGGGCCAGGGACGACCAGGAGGTGCCGACTGGCAGGACGCAATGTTCTACGGGGCTCCTATGGGGAGAGGCGGTCTCAACTTCATTCCCCTTTCGTCCCTCAACTTCATTCCCCTTCCAAAGTTCTTAAGAACACAAGAGATGCCAATGTTCGATCAGGCCAAAGGCCCATCCAGTCCACACAGTGGCCAGAAATACCTGGTGCCATCAGGAGGTCCACCAGTGGGGCCAGGACACTAGAAGCCCTCCCACTGTTGACCCCCCCCCCCAAGCACCAAGAAGACAGAGCATCACTTGCCCCAGAGTCCCCAGAGTTCTTGTGGGGAATGTCAGAACGCTTCCGCGTTGGTGACGTGCATTCCTTTCCGGGCCAGCCCCAAGTGGTGAGGCATTTGACAGAGAACGACAAGGAACTACCCCGTTCTAGAGCAGGGGTCCCCCAAATGATGCTTCTCTGGCACCCGTCAAGTGTTTATAGAAAGTGGGCAGAGTGAGGTGGAGCTTTTGCCCAGCACGGCTTTTCATGGGCCACAGAAGATCTGATGGGCTGTGCAGACTTAAATTGCTTCGGCGGCAGCTGCCCCCGTAGCACAAGGATAGTCACCGCGGGACTGAATGTAAGCTGTGCACACGCAAAAAAATATTTTTAAACCGCATGTTCATTTTAAAAGGCATCCTGTAAAGCAGAGCTTCTGCCTGAAACGTTGAAGAGTTACTATTAGCATTGTGCATAACCTCGCTCCCTGCCATTTTGTGGCTGGCCCCGCCTCCCCAGGCTGCCATTTTGTGGCTGGCCCCGCCTCCCCAGGCTGCCATTTTGTGGCTGGCCCCGCCTCCCCAGGCTGCCGCATCCTTTGCCAGAATTCTAAAGGTGCCCATAGGCTTAAAAAGATTGGGGACCCCTATTCTAGAGAAAAATACAAGGATGACTTTCCACAAGTAAGAGCAAATACAGACACATTTCTCTTACCAGGTGATAAACATCATCCAGACAAGTGAATTCGTTAAAACTGACAATCAGCTTCTGCAACGCTGTGAGCCTGGAAATGTCTCGTAGCTTGCTCAGACGGTTTCCGTGCAAGTTCAGAACCTAATGTCAAACGCAGGGGTTGTTTTGTTATTGACAGTATTTGTGGGTTGCCCAGGGGTCATTTCCTGCAGGAGCGCACAGGAGCGGAGCTCCGGCAGTAAAGAGCCCAGGGGGGCGGGCACATGCAACAAGCCCCACCCCCTGCTCCCAGCAGCTCCTCAGTCAGAGCAAGAAGCAGCCAGGTAAACTGCAGAGCCCCCCTCCCCCCGGGTCCAAAACAGTCCCATGGCACCTGTAAGACCAAGTTTTATTCAGGTACAAGCTCTCCCTCCTCTGTGAGGACAGATCTGCACGTTCCCCCCCCCCAATAGCTAGCAATCCAAAACAGTCCAGTGGAGCCTGAGCGGTGGGTGTTGCCTCCTGACACATGTCCAGTGATGCCAGGGGGTGTGGCATATGCAAATAAGTTATGCTAATGGGTTATGCTAATGAGCTCCTGCACTTCTTTTTCTATGAAATGACCCCTGGGGTTGCCTCTCTGCCCAAAAGGGTGACAGAAGACTTCCAAGAGTCTTGGGAAGAGATGCGACATTTCTGGAAACATTCAAGGCGCAAGGCAGGGTTTTTTCCCCCCAGGAAAACTGAAATTTGGGGAGGTTGATGTAATACTTATCAAATTTAAAATGTATAATTTATAATGGAGCCTGTAAAATTGTACTACTTGATCCGGGTATGAAATTTAAAGGTATAGATAGCTTTCTAAAGGAAAATTATTACTGTAGTCAATATTACAGAGAAAGAACCGCAAACTGCAACTTATGCTACCTTAGCATGTTTATCTTATTTTTTGCTGTCTGAGAGGTAAAAAATAGAAAACACAGATTTTGCAGTAAAGGGGGGAGGAAGCATATTATTTGTACAAAACAGTTATACTTCCACAAGTGGATTAGCAGTACGTTTGGGCATCAAATTAATCTTTATAACACTGAACCCTTCAATAGTATCGTATTATATACATTATAGGAAGTCAGGTTTGAACAATAAATGTGTCCTTAAAGTACTGTCTATGTTTAATGTGGGCATGACAATTATCACTAACTTTTCTTATGCCATAGATTGTCTTACATAAAAATCTTCGTACTATATGTTTTAGAATAAAAACATGTCTTAAAAGCACCCCACCCATTCCAAAAGAGAAAATATTTCATAGGAGATCTCCCCACATTGGAATTTCCACTTTTTTCATTGGAAAAATGGGGCAGGGGTTAGGGAAAAAGTTTCCCTAGGGGATCCCCTTTAAATTTGGGCTTTTTCCTCCCTGGGCCTTCATATCTCCAGCAATTTTTTATTTAATTTGCTTCATTTGTTTATTTACTTCTCAGCTGGGGTCTGCTGGAGGCGGCCGGACTACAGGACTGAGAAGATGCTCCAAGGTAATATATAACCTTTATTTATTTATTTTCTATGTATTTGTTAGATTTATATCCCACCCTTCCTGCAAGCGGGCTCAGGGTGGGTAACATCAGAAGTTACGAAAACGTTTAAAAACCAGTTCTTACAGTTGTAATGATTCCTTGTTTTAGTGAGTGTGTGTCTTTAAATGTTTGGTTTGAGTGCAGTGCTGGAAGGAGAGTGATAGGAGGAAACAAGTGTGCTGTGATTGGTGAATGACTGAGAGTGTGAGAGGAGTTGTTCAGAGTGAATCTGTGTGTGTGTCTTGAGGGAATTCAGTGAGTGATACGACAGAGTTCGTGCGGAAACTTAAAGAGTTCAGTGTATGCATCCTTGAAAAGTGAAGTGTGGAAGAGCTATGAGGAGAGTCTGAGTGACTCTAAAGTTTTGAGAGTGTGCGTATCTCCATACTCACCGTTATCCGGCTAAAAACATTGGCCTTGGCCACCGCCAAAATGGTTTTCTCATCCAAGCAAATTATTTTGGGCTTCGGCTTCATGACAGGCTCCATGTTCAAAGCCCGGTCATCACATTGCAGGTCCCGATTCAGAATGAAGCCTGCCGAATTTCTCCTTCCTTCCTCCGAAATCACGTTGCTGAACGAAGAGAACAGAGTCTCCTCTTTGACCTGTGTGAGAGACACAGTCGATTGCTCAACATTTTGTTACTTTTAGAAGAAGAAGAAGAAGAAGAAGAAGAAGAAGAAGAAGAAGAAGAAGAAGAAGAAGAAGAAGAAGAAGAAGAAGAAGAAGAAGAGATTGGATCTATACCTCGCCCTTCACTACCCGAAGGAGTCTCAGAGCGGCTTACAACCTCCTTTCCCTTCCCCTCCCCCAAAACAGACACCCTGTGAGGCAGGTGGGGCTGAGAGAGCTCTGAGAGAACCCCTCTTGAGAGAACAGCTCTGAGAGGACTTGTGACTGACCCAAGGTCACACCAACAGCAGCAATGTGAGAAGTGGGGAATCAGACCCGGTTCTCCCAGCTTAGAGTCCACACTCCTAACCACTACACCAAACTGGCTCTCTTTTAGTTTTTAAATGTTAAAAAAACAGAGATTCCAAACCCCTCAACAGTTCACCCTATCATAGGATCAAAAATCTGGGAACTATGCCAGTGGGACAAATCCTTTATGAGTTAGGGAAGTCAGAAGAAGAGGTATGTGGGGCTACCAACCTCCATTCTACAGAGATCATGTCCCCTGGAGAGAATGGCAGCTTTGGAGGGCGGAGTCTATGACATCACATCCCTGCTAATCTCCGCCCCCTCCCCAAATCGTGCCCTCTCCGGGCACCACCCCGAAGTCCCCAGGAATTTCCCAAGCCAGAGGGGGTAACCCTAGATATGCATCCCTGCTGTACAGCCAGTTTGTATAAGTAAAACAGTGGGTTAATTCCGAAGGCCCTTCGCAGCCATTTAGGTTTCCTGCGTGGCAAATGTGGAACAGGCTTCCTCGGGAGGTGGTGGCTCTCCTTCTTTGGAGGTCTTTCAGCAGAGGCTCGATGCCCCAAACTGAACACAATACCCTTGGTGAGGTCTTACCAGAGCAGAGTTAAGCGATACCATAGCCTCGTGTGATCTGGACACTATACTTCTGTTGATACAGCCAAAAGTGGCATTTGCCTTTTTAGCTACCACATCACACTGCCGGCCTCATGTTAAGTGTATGGTCTACTAAGACCCCTAGGTCCTTTTCGCACATACTACTGGCAGGACAACTCTCCCCCATCCTATAATTATGCATCTGATTTTCCCTACCTAAATACAGACCTTTTCATTTATCCCCATTGAGTTTCATTTTATTTGTTTTAGCCCAGTTTTCCAGCCTGTCAAGATCATCCTGTATCCTGACTCTGTCTTCTGCAGTATTTGCTACCCCTCTCTATCTATCTGTCTGTCTGTCTGTCTATCTATCTGTAGCAAATATATATTAAATCACCTCTCTTTCCCCCTGCATTTGGGCTTGTTTGTGGCTTCACCTCCCACAGCAGCCATTTTGTGGTTGGCTCCACCTCTCATGGCAGCCATTTTGTGGTTGCCCCCACCACCCTGTGTCAGAATTTCAAAGGTGCCCACAGGCTGGAAAAGGTTGTGGACCCCTGGTCTACGGCCCTTAGCACCAAACATGCCGCTAGGAAAGAAGAAATCCATACCAACGTGATGAACTCAAACTCAACGACGTATTCTGGCAAAACCAAGTCATGATCGAACACAAACCACTCACACTGCCGGAGGCTGCAGTCACAGTTCCTGAAGTCCAGGCAAGAACAGACTTCTGACGCTGAAGAAAAGGGGAAAGAATGTTCATTCTCTGATCTGTCAGTCTAGAATGCTTTTTACCTTGCACTTCCTCCAAGGAGCTCAGGGGGGTATAAATGGGCTGTTCTAGCTCTCACAACCCTAGGAGGTAGGTTAGGGTAAGAGAGAGTGATTATGTGTCAGTGTGAAGGATTTGAACCCAGATCTCTTACATCCTAGCCTGACACTCTAACCACTATACTACACAACACTGGCTGATGGAGATAAGAACATAAGAGAAGCCCATGTTGGATCAGGCCAATGGCCCATCCAGTTCAACACTTTCTCACACAGTGGCCAAAAATACCAGGTGCCATCAGGAGGTCCACCAGTGGGGCCAGGACACTAGAAGCCCTCCCACTGTTGCCCCCCCAGCACCATGAATACAGAGCATCACTTGCCCCAGACCGAGAGCTCCTATCTCTACCTTGTGGCTGATAGCCACCGATGGACCTCTGCTCCATATGCTTATCCAATTCCCTCTTGAAGCCATCCATGCATGTAGCTTTTTTACTAGGGATTACTTTTTTTAGTTTCAAAAGGGCTGTAGGATGTTCCATATCATGAAGGCCACAATCCTATGTACTCCTACTTGGGAAGAGTTAAGCCAACACTGAATGCAGTGAGATATAAAAATGACCAGGATCGGGCTGAAATACCAGTAAAGAAAGAACATGAATCCTTTCTGCTGATCTCCTTAACGGGACCCGTTTTACCCAGGGGTCATTTAGTAGAAAAAGAGGTGCAGGAGCTCATTTGCATAACTCATTAGCATAACTTAATTGCATACAACACACCCCCTGACAAAGGGCAGGCATGCAGGCTCCCTGCCTGATCATCTCCAGGTGCTAGGCAGGGAACCCAGGCATTTAAATCCCCCCTTCCCCGAGTTTCTCCGCAAAAGCAGAGAGGCTCATGGGGAAAAGGGGGCATGTCTGCCTGCCTTAAGAACATAAGAACATAAGAACATAAGAGACGCCAATGTTGGATCAGGCCAAAGGCCCATCCAGTCCAACACTCTGTGTCACACAGTGGCCAGAAATACCAGTGCCATCAGGAGGTCCAGCAGTGGGGCCAGGACATTAGAAGCCCTCCCACTGTTGACCCCCCCCCCAAGCACCAAGAAGACAGAGCATCACTTGCCCCAGAGCCCCTAGCTATACCTTGTGGCTAATAGCCACTGATGGACCTCTGCTCCATATGCTTATCTAATTCCCTTTTGAAGCCGTCCATGCTTGTAGCACCCACCACTTCCTGTGGCAGTGAATTCCATGTGTTAATCACTCTTTGGGTGAAGAAATACTTCCTTTTATCCGTTCTAACCCGACCGCTCTGCAGTTTCATGGAGTGCCCACGAGTTCTTGTATTGTGAGAAAGGGAGAAAAGTACCTCTTTCTCTACCTGCTCTTTCCCATGCATAATCTTATAAACCTCGATCATGTCACCCCTCAGTCGTCTTTTCTCCAAGCTAAAGAGCCCTAAGCGCTTTAACCTTTCCTCATAGGGAAAGTGTTCCAACCCTTTTATCATTCGAGTTGCCCTTTTCTGCACTTTTTCCAAAGCTATAATATCCTTTTTAAGGTGTGGTGCCCAGAACTGCACACAGTATTCCAAATGAGGTCTCACCATTGATTTATATAGGGGCATTATTATATTGGCTGATCTGTTTTCAATACCCTTCCTAATAATCCCCAGCATAGCATTGGCCTTCTTTATTGCAGTCACACACTGTCTCGACATTTTCAGTGAGTTATCCACTACAACTCCAAGATCTCTCTCTTGCTCAGTCTCTGCCAGTTCAGACCCCATCAATGTGTATTTATATTTAGGATTTTTGGCTCCAATGTGCATCACCTTGCACTTGGCCACATTGAACCCCATTTGCCATGTTGACGCCCACTCGCCCATCCTTGACAGATCCCCTTGGAGTGCCTCACAATCCTCACTGGTTTTCACCACCCTGAACAACTTTGTATCATCCGCAAATTTAGCCACTTCACTGCTTACTCCCATCTCCAAATCATTAATGAACAAGTTAAAAAGCAGTGGACCAAGTACTGATCCCTGCGGTACCCCACTGCTTACCACCCTCCACTGAGAAAATTGCCCACCTACACTCACTCTCTGTTTTCTATGAACTAGCCAGTTTTTGATCCATAAAAGGACTTGTCCTTCTATCCCATGATTTTTGAGCTTACTTAGGAGCCTTTGATGAGGAACTTTATCAAAAGCTTTCTGGAAGTCAAGGTAAATAATATCTATTGGATCCCCCTTGTCCACATGTTTGTTCACCCCCTCAAAGAACACTAACAGGTTAGTGAGACAAGATCTTCCCTTACAGAAACCGTGCTGAGTCTGCCTCAATAGGTTTTGTTCATCTATGTGCCTACTAATTCTTTCCTTAATAATGGTTTCCACCAATTTACCCGGTATCGACGTCAGACTGACTGGCCTGTAATTTCCCGGATCTCCTCTGGAACCCTTTTTAAAGATGGGAGTGACATTAGCTACCTTCCAATCCTCAGGAATGGAGGCAGATTTTAAGGAAAGATTACATATCTTTGTCAGGAGATCTACAAGTTCACATTTGAGTTCTTTCAGAACTCTCGGATGTATGCCATCTGGGCCTGGTGATTTTTCAGTTTTTAAGTTGTCTATCAGTTTTAGGACCTCCTCTCTCATCACCTCAATCTGACTCAGGTCTTCCAACACCCCTCCTGAAATCAGTGGTTCTGGAGTGGGCAAGCACTTCTCATCTTCCACAGTGAAGACGGAGGCAAAAAATGCATTTAGCTTCTCAGCCATTTCCCTATCATCCTTCAATACTCCTTTTACCCCTTGGTCGTCCAAGGGCCCCACTGCCTCCCTGGCTGGTTTCCTGTTTCTAATGTATTTGAAGAAAGTTTTATTGTTGGTTTTTACGTTTTTTGCTATATGCTCCTCATATTCCCTTTTTGCCTGCCTGACCTCAGACTTGCATTTTATTTGCCATAGCCTGTGTTCCGTTTTATCAGCCTCACTGTGACTAGCTTTCCACTGCTTAAAGGAATTCTTTTTACTTTTTACAGCCTCCATTACTCTGTTTGTTAACCATGCAGGCTTTTTCCTATACCTGTTTGTGCCTTTCCTAACCTGCGGAATATATATTTTTTGAGCTTCTAGGATCGTAGTTTTAAATAGATCCCAAGCTTCCCCAATTGTTTTGACCCTTTCTACTTTTCCTTTCAGTTGCCTTCCCTTCCCTTCTGCAGCAGTCTGGCTGGGGAAGCAAAGGGCGGGCATGCAAGCATGCCTGAGTTCCCTACTCCTGGGCTTGTTACTCCGGGAACGCCGTTCCTGCTCGTTCCCCCTCAAAATGACCCCTGGTTTGACCCATTCACACAATGCACTTTGGGAGCTTCCTTTTTGGTCAACATGACCCTTCAATTACCCCCCCTGCATAGATGGTGGCAGAAACCAGCTCCCAAGTATCATAATCCAACAGGAAGTTGGAAATCAATGGAAGCTGCACAACAAAGTTTTGGAAAGCTCAGGAAATGCTTTGCCCGGCTTCCAACAAACCGTGCCCTAAGTCAGCAAGGCCGGCCCAATAAGTCCCATGGATCTTCTTAGCCAGGTCACGGTGGGCATCAGGGAACCATCTCCTCATTTGCGGCCGACGCTGATTGCCAGTTTGCCATTTCAAGGTCCGATCCGCCTGGAAAACGAAACTTCGTCCAAGGATCGAAAATAAGCCCCCAAAACTGGGCTGAACGAATCGGACGGAGTCATTAAGATGGAGTGTAAACTGACGGTGCAGTCCTATCCAAAGTTACTCCCAGCATCTCCAGTTAAAAGGATCAGGTAGGAGGTGATGAGAAAGACCTCCACCTGAGACCCTGGAGAGCCGCTGCCAGCCCGTGGAGACAGTACTGACGTTGATGGACCAATGTGTCTGATTCTGTAGAAGGCAGCTTCATGCGTTCCTCTGTTTGTGTTCAGTCTATGTCTGATGACTTTGGTGGGGTTACACTTAGAGATGTAAAATTTCCAGAAATTTTGAAGCTCGGAAAAACCCCCGGGTTTTTTCTGTTTTTTTCCGGGGGGAAACGGAAATTTTCGGAAAAATTGAAAAAAATGCTACATTAGCATTTCTCTTGTCATTTCTAGATTGAAAGTCATTCTGTTACTTTAGGAACATAAAATATGACTATGGACATTTTTACTTGGCATGAAATTATCACAACTAGCATATTAAAAATATAGTGTATCCAAACAATTATTACAAACAGAATACCCACCCACATGCAAAAACAAAACTGAAACCTTTTTATTTTCTTCTGACAATAGCACCTCCTAAAGGAAGAAATGCATCTTGTTCTTGCATTGGAGAGTTCAGTTTGTAACCTAGGACTTGCTTGTCCGCAGTGCAGAGAAGTTAGATCACTCTGATACCATATATATATATATATTTTAGAAATGATTTGGAAAATATTTGAACACCTTGTCTTAAAATATTATATTCATCATGTTAAAATAAAACGTTCCATAATCAATTTTTTTTCTTTTCTTTTTTCAATTTTTCCAATTTTTCAGAAAAAAACAAAAAAGCTTCAGGAAAAAAACGGGGGGGAAACGTTTTTTCCCCGAATTTTTCCGTTTTTTCCCCCGGGCCTTCACATCTCTAGTTACACTGGAGTAATTTTGCACAGGCTTGCACCTGTGCCATGGTGGTTCAGGAACTCAGCCAACTGGGGGCTCCTGTTCTGCATGGCAGAAGCAGGACGTTGTCTCTATCACAACCACACAACTCCGACACTCACTTATGAAGCGGCCTTACCATCAGTCCATCAATGTCAGTACTGTCTGCTTGGACCAAAAGTGGCTCTCCGGGGTCTCAGGCAGAGATCTTTCCTTCTCCTTTTACCTGGAGATGCCGGGGATTGAACATGGGACCGCCTGCGTGCCAAGCAGATGCTCTGCCACTGAGCCACGGCCCCTTCCTCGAGGATTCCACACAGAGTCCTTTCTCCATATAGGAAGAGAGTCTTTTGTTTGGGTAAGCTGGTGAACCCGATTGACGGGCGCTTTTAAAAAAAAAGGTATTCTGTTTCCAGGTTCCATGAAAACAGAAGAGTGACTCAAAGTGCCAAATTTACTCCAGGAAACCAATCTGCACTTTAAACCCGAGGGGTTCAATTAGCGAATGTCAAAGAAACGTTTCCGACTGCTCTGCAGAATCCTCACCGGGTTTGCGAACTGGAGGAGCTGTAGCACAGGCGGATCGCTAGGGCAATTGTATTCCCGGGACGTGCGAGCCTGGAAGAAAAGCGTCAGCACCGGGTTGCCCCAGCTCCACATCACCCCTCGCATCTGTGGCACTCTTGCTGCCATTCCTCTGGGGCCTCCAGACAGCACGTGGCTTTCTGCATGCCCAAGGAGACCCAGCCATACTGACTGCAAAGTCACCCCTGAACGGCCATAAAACGGCCCGTCGGCTGCAAAAGTGTGCGATTTAAAGAATTATATGTTGTCCTCCCTTACCCTATGAAACATTGTTAGTCCCTTGTGAAAACTTGTGTAACTGTAAATCGCTCGGAGCCAGCAGCTCTGCAGGATGAGTGATCAATAAATCGAAAGGTATTATTATTATTATTATTATAAATCCATGCAGTAGGTACAATAAAATCCAAGGATCAAAGAACTCGAAAGTGGCACAGAGTGTGGAGGCTGCCATAAAACCCGATGATCAAAGGAAGTGAAAGCAGTGTGCAATGCAGAGGGGAGTTAGTTCCGCAGGGCCTGCAAGACGGAGCTCTTCCGCCAGGCGTTTGAGTAGGAGCCGCCACGACTGTTACCATCTGTCTATGACTATTACTATCTGTCCTAGCCCTTACTACCAACTCGCCGTGAGCGCAAAAATGGTGGTACTGCGTGGAGCTGTGGCCACTAAGGATACCATCCTGATGACGTCATCTGTTCCCTTGTTAGTTGTTGTGGAGAGCACTTATGTTGTACTGAATGTTTTTAAAATGCAGTTTTAATGTTTTGTGTATTGGGCATTGGCCCCATCTGTACGCCGCCCTGAGCCCGTTCGTGGGGAGGGCGGGTTATAAATTTTAATAAATAAATAAAGTGGGTTTCATAAAACAACGGAGGGAAAAGCCAAGGCAGAATCAGCCACAGTGGCTTGCTTGTGATAAATACATCAGCCTTATGTGTGGGACTGGAGCTCCATCTGGTGGCTACACCATAAAATTCCTTTTTATCCCCACTTTTGTATGCTTGCCTGTGTGGACTGGAGACCTGCTATATCCTCCACCCCTGCAGGTTTTCCCAGTTAAGAGATCAGGTAACAGGTGATGGGCGAGAGTGACTGAGATTATGAAGAGCTTAGATGCAAGTCCAGCAGCACCTTACAGGCCAAGAAGATTTTTGCAGCATAAAGCTCCTTTCGTCAGATATCAGTGAGGACAGATATAGTGGATGTGGCTTAGGGATCGTGGAGACTGTGACACATGTTCCATTTGAACACCCATGGTATAAGGAGGCTAAAGAGAAATGGATCAAGCTACTTATTGCCCAGTGAAACGAGTCTCCCCCTAGATAGTTTAGTTACTAAAATTTTAATGGCGCCTAGGCCAGCAACTACACTTTTTAAAGCTAAGTTCCTTGTTTAGGCCACGAGAGTTTAGGCAGCTTGTGACAAGACATCTTCTCTGATGTGGTATAACAGCCTGTCCTGTCTGGCTTGAATTCTTCCTTTTATTCTTAGCTGGGATAGATCGATACTACTCAAGATATGTAGGGTCAGAGAGAGAAAGAGAAAGGAGAGAGAGAGAAGAAAGAAAGAGAGAGAGAAGAAAGAAAGAGAGAAAGACAGAGAGAGACAGAAAGACAGAGAGACAGAAAGACAGAAAGAAGAGAGAGAGAAAGAAAGAAAGAAAGAAAGAGAGAAAAAGAAAGAGATAGAAAGACAGAAAGAAAGAAAGAAAAAGAGAGAGAGAAAGAGAGCGAGAGAAAAAGAAAGAGAGAAAGACAGAGAGAGACAGAAAGACAGAGAGGAGAGAGAGAGAGAAAGACAGAAAAAGAGAAAGAGAGAGAAAGAGAGAGAGAGAGAGAAAGACAGAAAGAAAGAGACAGAAAGACAGAGAGAAAGAAGAGAGAGAGAAAGAAAGACAGAGAGAAAAAGAGAGAAAGAAAGACAGAGAGAGAGAAAAAAACAAAGAAAGACAGAAAGAGGGAGGGAGGGAGGGGGGGGAGAGAGAAGGATCAGCTGGATTCCAGTAGCACCTTAGAGGCTAACATAATTTTGGGGGTATAAGTTTTCAAGAGTCAGATCTCCCTTCATCAGATACTGATGACTGATAAAGTGAGCTCTACTGTCAAAAGCTCATCCTCAGAAACTCTTGTTGGTCTCGAAGGCGCTACTGATCTCAAATATTCGCTCTCTTCTACTGCAGACCCCTGGGAAATTCTCCTGCAAGGCTTCGTTGAGAAAAACGGGAACAACACAAGAGCTCGGTTTCCTCCAGGCCACTTAGGGAGGGTAGAGCCCCTGCTTTGGATGCAGAAGGTCTCAGGTTCAACCCCCAGCATCTCTAGTTAAAGGGAACAGGCCGTAGGGGATGTGAAGGGCCTCCGTCTGAGACCCCCGGAGAGCTGCTGCCAGTCAGAGTAGACAATACTGACCACGATGCACTGATGGTCTGATTCAGTACAAGAGAGTGCCGTGTGTTCATTTCAAATGCAATTGTGCTTGCGGGTAGACATACAGTACCAATTTTCTTTCTTTTACAACATTTCCAAGGGATACACCTTTCTTTGCTTCAGCCCTATGAGTATACCACAAGGAGCTCTGCCCACGGAGGCACACTCACCCTTTGGTTTCTCCGGTGAAGCCATGGTCCCATTACCAGCGGCAGAAGCCGTGTTTGGGGGGAGGCCGCGAGGCCTGTACACGGAATTGACCCCGGGAAAGTTGGCTCGGAGGATCGGCTCTGTCCCGCGAGCCTGCACACTGTTCCTGAGAAAAACCTTTGAGATGATGAGCTTCCCTGAGAAAGAAGAAAGTATCAGAGTGTCTTAATTATAATTCTGGAATCTCAGTTCAATTGCAGCCAACGGTTCCACGGGACCCAAGCAAGTGAAGTAAGCCGTACACCTCTAGGAGAAGTAGAAAACTGACTAAAAACCCACATACACATACATAAGAACATAAGAGAAGCCATGTTGGATCAGGCCAGTGGCCCATCCAGTCCAACACTCTGTGTCACACAGTGGCCAAAACCCAGGTGCCATCAGGAGGTCCACCAGTGGGGCCAGATCTTCAGAAGCCCTCCGACTGTGGCCCCCCCAAGCACCAAGGATACAGAGCATCACTGACCCAGACATAACAACATAAGAGAAACCATGCTGGATTAGGCCAGTGGCCCATCCAGTCCAACACTCTGTGTCTCATAGTGGCCAAAACTTCCTAACTGTAAGAGTGGTTGAGTAGTGGGACAGACTGCCTCGGGAGGTGGTGGATGCTCCTTCGCTGGCCGTCTTCAAGTGGAGGCTGGACGACCATCTTTCGAGTATGTTGTAGGGCTATCTTTCGGCTCTGCTCCTGCAGAGTGCAGGGGGTTGGACTAGATGACCTGCGAGACCCCTTCCAAATCTATGATTCTATGATTTAGAGCAGATTTGCTAGTATTACCTGGCCTAAATGACTCCTCAAAGTCCCCTTTGCTTTTGGCTTGTTTTTGGAAGTGTTCGATTCGGGGGCACTCGCAGATACTGAGGCTGTTGGAGAGGGAAACGGCTTCTTCACTGTCGGGCACCTAAAAGAGTTTTAAAAAACACACACAACTCTGAGCAAGTTTATTAACTTTACATTCCCAGAGGGCGCCCTCAAACCCTGGGGCTCCCAACTTTTTTGAGCCTGTGTACATGTTTGGAATTCTGAACTTCAGTGGACTTCAGTGCCAAGGATATAATTATTATTATCAGTTATCAAATTTATACCCTGCTCAGTCTCCCCTGAACAGCCCTGACCTGGATAGCCTACGCTAGCCTTATCTTGTCAGATTTTGGAAGCTAAGCAGGGTCGGTCCCAGATAGTATTTGGAAGGGTGACCTCCAAGGAATATCAGGGCTACGACGCAGAAGCAGGCAATGGCAAACTAGCTCTGAAACAGCTCTTGCCTTAAAAACAAGTCTAGCTCGCCACCTAGTGGTAAAAAGGTAAAGGTTCCCTTGCTCGAAAGCCAGTCGAGTCCGACTCTAGGGTTGCGGTGCTCATCTCCGTTTCAAAGCCGAAGAGCCAGCGCTGTCCGAAGACGTTTACATGGTCATGTGGCCAGCATGACTAAACACCAAGGTGCATGGAACGCTGTTACCTTCCCACCGAAGTGGTACCTATTTATCTCCTTGCAATTTCTTGCTTTCGAACTGCTAGGTTGGTGCATAACGCTAAAAGTGCTAGAACTTTTATTTATTGGATTTTTATTCCACCCTCCCCAAAGAGGGCTCAGGGCGTATCACAACAAAACCAAACCAGAGACTCATTACAATAAAATTATATTACATTAAAATCATTAAAACGGTAATATTCAAGAGGTAGTGGCAATTACACAGAAAACCTGTTAGGGCCACGTAGACGGAATCAATGGGTACTTTAGTACTTCCGGCTGCCAGACAGTCTTAGGATCTCCTGGCTATTCTACGCAAAATGCCCCACGATAATTAATTAATTAATTGATTCCCCCAAGCAGGACTCGGGGCGGCTAACAACGTGTAAAGTAAAGGTAAAGGTAAAGGTTCCAGTCAAATCCGACTCTAGGGTTGCGGTGCCCACAAAAACAGTCTATAAGGTAAATGAACTTTAAAAATATAAAACGGTTACAAATCTATCCACTATGTAGCAGGGTAGGATGTGCGGATGGTGAAGACACAACGGTAGCATACCAGCTGCCTGGTGGATCACCATCACCCGAAGGCCACCCCGAAAAAGAGCAGCCTTGCGTGCCCTGTGGAACCTAAGGAGGTCCCGCAAGGCACAACCTCTTCGGGCATCTGGTTCCACAGGACGTGGGCCACCACCAATGCTCCCTCTAAGCTGTGGGGTCTTGTGAGCAAAAATTCTACTTTGTGAGCGACTGGCACTAAAGTTGTGAGCGAGCGATTTGGCTACTGCATACATTAGTTTGCTCTAGCTAACTAATTTATCTTACTGAGCGGAGACAAAACGGATAAGAGGAAGACCTTCTTCACCCAAAGAGTGGTTAACCCATGGAATTCACTGCCACAGGAAGTGGTGGCGGCTACAAGCATGGGCGGCTTCAAAAGGGAATTAGATAAGCATATGGAGCAGAGGTCCATCGGTGGCTATGAGCTACAAGGTATAGATAGGGACTGTGGGGAAAGTGATGCTCTGTCTTCTTGGTGCTTGGGGGGGGGGTCAACAGTGGGAGGGCTTCTAGTGCCCTGGCCCCACTGGTGGACCTCCTGATGGCACTGGTATTTCTGGCCACTGTGTGATACAGAGTGTTGGACTGGATGGGCCTTTGGCCTGATCCAACATTGGCATCTCTTATGTTCTTATGTGTGAGCCGGAGGCTAAAAAACTGTGAGCTAGCTCACACTGACTCAGCTTAGAGGGAACACTGGCCACCACTGAGAAGGCCCTCACCCTTGTTGACACAAGTTAGACATTAGCTGTTGTAGATTTTCCGGGCTGTACGGCCATGGTCTTGGCACTGCAGTACCTGACGTTTCGCCAGCAGCTGTGACTAGCATCCTGAGAGGTATAACACAGAAAGATGGAGTACTCTCTGTGTCAAGCCGGGAAGAAAAATGGTAGGCAGGTAATTTATATCTACTCAGGAAGGTGGGGTAGGGCTGAGTCCTTATCTTGTAGGAGTTCCCCAGGCTGTGACATGCTAATGGAGGAGCTTTCCTGAGGAGGTTCTTTTGCATAGGGATTGGCTGCTGAAATTCTAATCTTATCTGTAGTGCTGTTGTCAGACGTAGAGCAGGGGTGTCAAACTCATTTGTTATGAGGGCCGGATCTGACATAAACGAGACCTTGTTGGGCAGGGCCAATGCGTATCATAAAATGTAATGCCAGGTAGTGGAGATATAAACTTTAAAAAGGACACAAACACAAACGGTTTGCCCCAGACCGAGAGTTCCTATCTAGACCTTGTGGCTAACAGCCACGGATGGACCTCCGCTCTGTATGTTTATCCAATCCCCTCCTGAAGCCGACCGTCTTGTAGCCACCGCCACCTCCCGTGGCAGTGAATTCCACATGTTAACAAGCTCTGGGAGAACTTGTGACTAACCCAAGGTCACACCAGCAGCTGCATGTGGAGGAGTGAGGAATCAAACCCAGTTCTCCCAGGTTAGAGTCTGCACTCCCCCCTAACCACAACACCAAACTGGCTTCAAAAGATGCTCCTGCATTTGTAGCCTTATTTAACTAGTGGGTACTGGACTAACCATACTAGTTAACCCAACACATCCAAGTACTAACCAGAGCTGACCCTGCTTCGTTTTCAAGATCTGATGAGACTGGGCTAGCCTGGGCTATCCAGGTAGGTCAGGGCTGTTTTAATATAGGGCTACGGTGGCTCAAGTGGTTAAGACGCTGAACTGCAGACCGGAAGGTCAGTAGTTCAGCAGTTCGAGACCCGAGTGCGCCGCATGACGGAGTGAGCTCCCGTCTCTGGCCCCAGCTCCTGCCAACCTAGCTGTTCGAAAGCAAGAAATTGCAAGTAGATAAATAGGTACCCCTTCGGTGGGAAGGTCACAGCGTTCTGTGCGCCTTGGTGTTTAGTCACACCGGCCACGTGACCATGGAAAACGTCTTCGGACAGCGCTGGCTCTTCGGCTTGGAAACATAAGAACATAAGAACATAAGAGACGCCAATGTTGGATCAGGCCAAAGGCCCATCCAGTCCAACACTCTGTGTCACACAGTGGCCAGAAATACCAGTGCCATCAGGAGGTCCAGCAGTGGGGCCAGGACATTAGAAGCCCTCCCACTGTTGACCCCCCCCCAAGCACCAAGAAGACAGAGCATCACTTGCCCCAGAGCCCCTAGCTATACCTTGTGGCTAATAGCCACTGATGGACCTCTGCTCCATATGCTTATCTAATTCCCTTTTGAAGCCGTCCATGCTTGTAGCACCCAACACTTCCTGTGGCAGTGAATTCCATGTGTTAATCACTCTTTGGGTGAAGAAGTACTTCCTTTTATCCGTTCTAACCCGACCGCTCTGCAGTTTCATGGAGTGCCCACGAGTTCTTGTATTGTGAGAAAGGGAGAAAAGTACCTCTTTCTTTACCTGCTCTTTCCCATGCATAATCTTATAAACCTCGATCATGTCACCCCTCAGTCGTCTTTTCTCCAAGCTAAAGAGCCCTAAGCGCTTTAACCTTTCCTCATAGGGAAAGTGTTCCAACCCTTTTATCATTCGAGTTGCCCTTTTCTGCACTTTTTCCAAAGCTATAATATCCTTTTTAAGGTGTGGTGCCCAGAACTGCACACAGTATTCCAAATGAGGTCTCACCATTGATTTATATAGGGGCATTATTATATTGGCTGATCTGTTTTCAATACCCTTCCTAATAATCCCCAGCATAGCATTGGCCTTCTTTATTGCAGTCACACACTGTCTCGACATTTTCAGTGAGTTATCCACTACAACTCCAAGATCTCTCTCTTGCTCAGTCTCTGCCAGTTCAGACCCCATCAATGTGTATTTATATTTAGGATTTTTGGCTCCAATGTGCATCACCTTGCACTTGGCCACATTGAACCCCATTTGCCATGTTGACGCCCACTCGCCCATCCTTGACAGATCCCCTTGGAGTGCCTCACAATCCTCACTGGTTTTCACCACCCTGAACAACTTTGTATCATCCGCAAATTTAGCCACTTCACTGCTTACTCCCATCTCCAAATCATTAATGAACAAGTTAAAAAGCAGTGGACCAAGTACTGATCCCTGCGGTACCCCACTGCTTACCACCCTCCACTGAGAAAATTGCCCACCTACACTCACTCTCTGTTTTCTATGAACTAGCCAGTTTTTGATCCATAAAAGGACTTGTCCTTCTATCCCATGATTTTTGAGCTTACTTAGGAGCCTTTGATGAGGAACTTTATCAAAAGCTTTCTGGAAGTCAAGGTAAATAATATCTATTGGATCCCCCTTGTCCACATGTTTGTTCACCCCCTCAAAGAACACTAACAGGTTAGTGAGACAAGATCTTCCCTTACAGAAACCGTGCTGAGTCTGCCTCAATAGGTTTTGTTCATCTATGTGCCTACTAATTCTTTCCTTAATAATGGTTTCCACCAATTTACCCGGTATCGACGTCAGACTGACTGGCCTGTAATTTCCCGGATCTCCTCTGGAACCCTTTTTAAAGATGGGAGTGACATTAGCTACCTTCCAATCCTCAGGAATGGAGGCAGATTTTAAGGAAAGATTACATATCTTTGTCAGGAGATCTACAAGTTCACATTTGAGTTCTTTCAGAACTCTCGGATGTATGCCATCTGGGCCTGGTGATTTTTCAGTTTTTAAGTTGTCTATCAGTTTTAGGACCTCCTCTCTCATCACCTCAATCTGACTCAGGTCTTCCAACACCCCTCCTGAAATCAGTGGTTCTGGAGTGGGCAAGCACTTCTCATCTTCCACAGTGAAGACGGAGGCAAAAAATGCATTTAGCTTCTCAGCCATTTCCCTATCATCCTTCAATACTCCTTTTACCCCTTGGTCGTCCAAGGGCCCCACTGCCTCCCTGGCTGGTTTCCTGTTTCTAATGTATTTGAAGAAAGTTTTATTGTTGGTTTTTACGTTTTTTGCTATATGCTCCTCATATTCCCTTTTTGCCTGCCTGACCTCAGACTTGCATTTTATTTGCCATAGCCTGTGTTCCGTTTTATCAGCCTCACTGTGACTAGCTTTCCACTGCTTAAAGGAATTCTTTTTACTTTTTACAGCCTCCATTACTCTGTTTGTTAACCATGCAGGCTTTTTCCTATACCTGTTTGTGCCTTTCCTAACCTGCGGAATATATATTTTTTGAGCTTCTAGGATCGTAGTTTTAAATAGATCCCAAGCTTCCCCAATTGTTTTGACCCTTTCTACTTTTCCTTTCAGTTTCCTCCCCACGTGTCCCCTCATATCAGAGAAATTACCCCTTTTAAAGTTAAAAATGGTTGTGTGAGTCTTTTTGGCCAATTCTCTATTTGTACAAATGATGAACTCAACAACATTATGATCACTGTTTCCAAGCGGTGCAATCACTTTTACATCTCTCACCAGGTCTTGAGTGTTACTTAGGACCAAATCAAGGATCGCCTCTCCCCTGGTAGGTTCCGTGACCATCTGCTCCATAGCACAGTCATTTAGAGTGTCTAGAAACTCAATCTCTTTTTCCCGACTAGAACACATATTGACCCAATCAATGTGTGGGTAGTTAAAATCACCTATTATTACACAGTGTTTTTGTCTAGTTGCTATCTTTAAGGCATTCATCATTTTATAATCCTCCTCTATCTTTTGATCTGGTGGGCGATAACAAACTCCCAGTGTTAAGTTTCCTTTTGGCCCCCCTATTTCAACCCATAGAACTTCCAGAAGCGAATCCAATTCACTTAGCCTCTCAATCTTTCTAGACTTTATACCCTCTCTGACATACAGAGCTACCCCACCTCCAACCCTTCCCCCCCTATCCTTCCGATATAATATATAACCGGGAATCACTGTGTCCCACTGATTTTCCTCATCCCACCAAGTTTCAGAAATACCCACAATGTCTATTTTTCCCTCCGACACCAAGCACTCCAACTCCCCGATTTTACCTCGGACACTTCTAGCATTTGTATAGAAACAGCTGTAATTTCCCTTACAAGTTAAGCCTGCATCCTTCCTCTTGCTATCTCGAGTCGTTGTCCGGCAGTCCATGTCACCAGCCATGGCCTCTGTGGACAATTTCAATCCACCTCCCTGTAGAAAAGCAACCGGTACCCCCTCACCTCTCTCAGATGAGCCAACCCGAACCAGAGACTTTTCATCTCCTGTCGGCTTTCCCCCAATATTCAGTTTAAAAGCTGCTCTGCCACCTTTTTGATTTTAAGTGCCAGCAGCCTGGTTCCTTCTCGGGACAAGTGGAGACCGTCTCGCCTGTACAGCTCCCTCTTGTTCCAAAAAGTATCCCAGTGCCTAACAAACCTGAACCCTTCCCCCCTACACCATCGTCTCATCCACGCATTGAGACTCCTGATCTCTGCCTGTCTCTCCGGCCCTGCAGAGATGAGCAACGCATCCCTAGAGTTGGATTCGACTGGCTTTCGAGTGAGGGAAACCATTACCTTTATTTTAACATAGGGGGCATTCAAAGCAGTGCAGGATATTTCCAAACGTGTAGCTCACATTGACACAAAAGGCTCTAAGAAGTCATGTGGGGCAAAGCACTCAGAAGTGGTCACAGGTGGGACAGATCCCTGGTGCACTGAAACACCCAATCACCTTCCGGGCGTCCTGAAAGCCTTCCTCCAGGATCTGGATCAGTTGTTTTTTCTTCAAGGGCACTTCCGGGTTCAGTACATAGAAGAGATATTCTAGCCTCTTCTTGTAATTTCTGAAGGAGTGAAAGAAAAGGAGAAATCGCATTAGCCGTGAGCATAAGAACTGGTTCCCTACGAGAGGAGGAGAGGAGGAGGAGGAGGAGGAGGAGATTGGATTTATACCCCGTCCTTCACTACCCAAGGGAGTCTCAGAGCAGTTTACAATCTCCTTTCTCTTCCCTTCCCCACAACAGACACCCTGTGACTCTGTGAGGTAGGTGGGGCTGAGAGAGCTCTGACAGAAACGGCTCTTTTTCGAGAACAGCTCTGACAGAACTATGGCTTGCCCAAGGTCACCCAGCAGGTGCAAGTGGAGGAGTTGGGGAATCAAACCCGGCTCTCACAGGTTAGAGTCCGGATCGGCATTTGGTTTCCAACAGCGGCGGGACGCACGTCTTGAGAAAAACGAGACCTGCCACCCTCAGCTCCTTGGAAGGTGGATTACACGGCAGGGCCAGTTCCAAATTTTAGGGTGTGTGTGTGCAGAAACAGTTCCTAGGTCCCCCCCCCACTACCCACCACCAGGCACTCCTTCCCCCCCCCCCACCTCCATGCCTCCCACCCGCTTTTGTGTCCTTCCCACGTAGCTCAACAAGCCCTCCCGCTGCCCGTGCCCTCGGCTGCCTGCAGCCCTGTCCCCGGTGAAATCACAAACAAACCTGTACTCAAAGCACGCTAAATAAACGCAACAATAATTATCTAGAAGGCAAAGCCAATAATAATGCTAAACTCATTAATATATATATCAGTATTCCCTCTAAGGAGCTGCGGTGGCTCAAGTGGTTAAGACACTGAACTGCAGGCTGTGGAAGGTCGGTAGTTCAGCAGTTCGAGACCCGAGTGTGCCGCATGACGGAGTGAGCTCCCGTCTCCAGTTCCAGCTCCTGCCAACCTAGCAGTTCGAAAGCAAGACATTGCAAGTAGATAAATAGGGACCACTTCGGTGGGAAGGTAACAGCGTTCCGTGTGCCTTGGTGTTTAGTCATGCCGGCCACATGACCACGGAAACGTCTTCGGACAGCGCTGGCTCTTCAGCTTTGAAACGGAGAAGAGCACCGCAACCCTAGAGTCGGATTCGACTGGCTTTCGAGCAAGGGAGACCTTTACCTTTACCTATTCCCTCTAAGCTGAGTTCTTGTGAGCTAGCTCAGAGTTTTTTTAGCCTCCAGCTCACCGATTTTTGTCTTAGCTCAGGAAGGATGACTCAAGAGCAGGGGGTGGCCAAGGCTGCTCAACTTAAGAGCCACACAGAATAAATGTCAGATGTCTGAGAGCCGCAAGACATCAATAAATACCACATGTTTTTATTTTAAAATATGCAGGTTTGCTTTTTTTATTAACATGAAATGAGACTGCCGAAAATAAAAGGGGTAAAAACAGATATTGATAATTCTATTTATCATATCATATTTATCTGTTTGCTAATGATATTTATTTGTCTGAGAGAGAAAGAGAGAGAGGTGGAAAGAAAGAATGAAAGAGGTGGAAAGAGAGAGAGAAACCAAGAAAGCAAATAGATGGGAGAGGGAAGGGAGGGAGGGAGGGAAGGGAGGGAGGGAGAAAAAGTATTCCTCCCCTTCGCTCCCCTACCGGGAGCCGCACAATACGTGTGAGCGAGCCGCA